GCAGAAACCACTAGAATTGGGTTAAGAACTGTCCAATGCATTATTAAAAGATTAATGTAAGGTTACTGTAACACACTCTTCACATGTTCTAACAAAAAAGCCCTTGACCAGCTTCAGTTGGCCCAGAACTCTGCAGCGAGGCTCCTAACTGGAGCAAACAGAAGAGCACATATCACTCCTGTTCTGGTGTCTCTGCACTGGTTACCCGTTAACTTTAGAGTTCATTTTAGAGTCCTGACTACAACTTTCAATGCTCTACATGGTCCATCTCCTCCCGATATTACTGAACTGTTAAAGCCTTATGCTCCAACCCGAGCCCTCAGGTCTACCCACCAGAACCTTCTAGAAGTTCCAAAGACCAGATCCATAAGTGGAGGTGATCGCTCCTTCCAGACTGTTGCACCCCGACTTTGAAATGATCTTCCTTTATCCTTACGCAGCGCTGACAGTCTGGACATTTTAAAAAACAGCTAAAGACCCTGTTATTTAAAGCTGCTTTTACCTAAATCTTTTATTTTCTTATTTTTAACTCAAATTTGTAATCGTCTTTCATTTGTTTCTGAGATTTTATACTGGGTATCCGCGGGTCCTTAAAAAGTCTTAAAAAGTCTTAAATTTGCTTTTCCAAATTTAAGGCCTTAAAAATCCTTAAAAATGACAAATAATCCTTAAATAGTTTCCAAAGGTCTTAAAAGACCAAAGACCCAATAAACAAGATTATTTTATTTCTACAAAATTTTCGTGAATTTCTAGTTAGTTCAGCATTTTTTGTGTACAATGTTGGCGTAAGCGGAACCGTACACATTCGGTTGGTTGTGAAAGGAGCATGCTAGTGGGAGCTTGCGCCATGGGGAAGTGCAACATTAATGGTAACTGGATGGTTAATCCCACGTTCACGACGTGGTTAGCGCCTGTTCCAGGCAATAGCTGGAAATTATAACTTAAATTTAATTTTTAAAAAATAGTTTAAATTTGGTCAAAGTGGCCTTAAAAAAGGTCTTAAAAAGTCTTAAAGATACCCTGTTTATAATATTATGACTTTATTTCTTCTGCTGTTAACCTATTTCTGTTTTGAGATCTTTATGATTTTATGACTTTATGCTTTATTTAGTTTTGATCTATGTGAAGCACTTTGTGATTCTTTGTCTGTGATAAAGTGTTTTAAAAATCAAATTCACTTACTTACTAAAAACTGTTCCAGAGTGATGGTGCATCAGGGTAAGCCGAAGCGCAAAAGAACCAAACAAGTTGCAGAGGTTACAAACGTGGTCGGGACAGAGGAGAGGTTGCTGTCAGAAATAAAAAACAATTGAATATGATAGTATAAGAAGTATTGTGTTGTTCTACGCTTCCCCCATATCTGTCTACAAACACCCTGTACGGCAAGCCATTTTAATATTTAATCAACTACACCTCTCTGTAATTACTGTTCTTCATAGCAATAATATAATTTATTCTTGTCCAAACAATATTCTTACTGATGAAATTTGAAAAGATATGAACAAGTACAAATTACACAAGTAATATTCATAATAACAACTGCACTAGTAGGAATTTAGCATCTTAATTCATTATGATGAATGATGAATGACCCGCACTTGTATAGCGCCTCTCAGAGTAAGGACTCCAAAGCTCTTTACACTACAGTGTACCATTCATCCATTCACACACACATTCACACACTGATGGTGATGAGCTACAATGTAGCCACAGCTGCCCTGGGGCGCTCTGACAGAGGCGAGGCTGCCAAGCACAGGCGCCACCGGTCCCTCCGACCATCACCAGCAGGCAAGGTGGGTTAAGTGTCTTGCCCAAGGACACAACCTTCCGATTACTAGACAACCCTCTCAACCTGTTGAGCTACTGCTGCCCCATTAAGGTGTCTCCATCCTTCAGGGCTAACCCTGAACACTTGAACCTTTTCATCTTTTTACAGAGACTCAAAAAAGACTTTTAGGCAAATATAATTGAAAGTGTGGTTCACTGAAATTTATTTTTTATTGATTATTTCTGATAATCAGTCACTGAGTGTTATTCAGGCTGAACATGAATATAGTCTCCTACACCTATCTCCTGCAGTAGCTTCTGATAGAAAACAGACGGTGAAACTCTAGGATAGAAAATCCTGACAGATCTACGTCACACTGTCACCAACGTTCATGGACTCACCCATCTGTTACTCATGACGGGGAAGGCTGATGTTGGTTTAGCGTCCAGGAAACGGCAGAGAATGTCTCGGCTAGTAGAAGCTAACTGTTAGCATTAGCGACTCCACCACACAGCAGAACTCCTCCAGGCTTGTGTTATTTGGGAGGTAAAACATCAACGTTGCAGAGCAGTAGTGGATTTAATTTTTCTAAGCAAAATTTATGAAAAGGAACAACAGATATTTCAGGGGTTCAAAACCTTTATAGAAATAATCATGCCTTTTATCAATAGTTCATAGAATGTGTGTGTGATTTATTTATGTTTATACAGATGTGAAATCAATTCATGTAAATCAATTGTGGTAATTATGAAACCACGATTGTTTCTCAAACTATAATCGTACCACCAAAATCAATAATTGTAACCCTGTTATGCATGGAGGAAAGAGAACACAGCATTCCAAGAGAAACACCTGCTACCTACAGTAAAACATGGTGGTGGTTCCATCATGCTGTGGGGCTGTGTGGCCGTGCAGGGACTGGGATCTTGTTAAAGTTGAGATTCTGGAGACTAATGTCCAGGAATCGGTGACAAAGCTGAAGCTGCGCCGGGGCTGGATCTTATAACAAGACAACGACCCTAAAGACTGCTCAGCATCTGCTAAGGCATTCACGCAGAGGAACAAGTAGAACGCCCTGGAACGGCCATCTCAGTCCCCAGACCGGAGTATTATTGAAAATCTGTGGTGTGAGTTAAAGGGATGTGTTCATGTTTGGAAGCTATCAAACCTGAACGAACTAGAGAACTTTTGTTAAGACAAATGGTCCAAAATACCTTCCATCAGAATCCAGACTCTCATTGGAAGCTATAGGAAACATTTAGAGGCAGTTATTTACTAAGGATCTATTAAATATCGAGGAAAATATTTTGTGGTGCCCAAATTTATGCATCTGTCTAATTTAGTTTAAACAATTATTGCACACTTTCTGTAGATCCAATAAACTTAGTTTCACTTCTCAGATATCACTCCTATGTGATATATTTAATTACAGTTTTTTAATTATGCCAACCAGCAATTTATACAGGTAGATCATGAAGATTTACAATGCTACCCAAACCTTCACATCCTACTTTAAATCTCTGGCTCCATCTTGCCCCTCTGCCACTTTAGATTCTTTTGCTCAGGTAACCCTACCTGAGTTACACAAGCTGGTTTCAGAGGTGTAGCCAGCAGGCTCTCCTCATGATGTTGTCCCAGCATGGATAAAAAAAAATCTTTCCTACATTAACCCCTCCTATTCTCACTATCGTTAATAGCAGCCTGACGTCTAGCATGGCTGTCCTTGTGTGCAGAAATTCTTAAGAATGTGGTGTATAAGCAGCTTTTTTTTTCTTTCCATCAATGATCTTTTGAAGTCTTGCTGCAGTTGGATTTAACTGCAGCCATTAACACAGTTAATCACTAGATTTTGTTGAAGCGTTTGGATCAGTGGGTGGGGCTTTCTGCGGCAGTTCTTATCAATGGATGAGGTCTTACCTCTCCAATAACTCCTTTTCCATATCCCTTGGTCCTCCCTCGTCAAATGACTTTGCACTCGAGTTGGGCATTCCCCAGAGGTCTGTTCTTGGCCCTTTGTTGTTTTCTATCTGCTCCACCTGCGAATGTTTTTTCGAAATTCAACATTAGCTTTCATCTTTATGCTGATGATTGCCAGATTTATCTTCCAGTCCGGCAGGAGTCACCTATCACATTTCTGCGATTATTGGGCTGTCTCCGTAAAGTGTGTATGTGGATGGCATGGCATCACATTTCCTGAATCTTAATGAGAGAAAAACTGAGATAATAATTTTTACTCCCAATGGTTGCCAGCCTCATGGTTCGGACGTTCTGTCTCTGACACCTGATGAGAAGTCAGTGATTACGGTGTAAATAGTTCAAAATGCGGCTTCAAGGTTCATTTGCAGAGTCAAAAATGGGAACATGTTTCTCCACTCCCTGAGGCTTTGAATCAGTCCAGCATCGTGTTCATGGCAAGATTTAGAGTTTTGTTTTCCAGTCTCTCCTAGGAACAATGTCACCCTTATATGGCTTCAGTTTTAGCTAAGTATCTGCCAGCAAGATGTCTTTGTTCCTCTCAAAATGAGCTGGTTGTGGTTCCTAACACAAAACGGAAGTCCAGAGGTGACCGTGTGTGTGCAGCTCTTTCCTAACATTCATTTTGATGTCTCACTATTGGATACACCCCTCCACAAATTCCTCAGAAGCACTTATCTAAGTACATCAAGCCTGATTCACCAGAGACCGTGATGCTCACGTCACCTGCTACTATAAATAGCAAGCGCCCCAACGCACGCGTCACTCCACCTCTTCTCGCTTTGGTGGTAGCTACCATTTTCTCTCCGTTGCCAAATGCTAACTTGCTTTCCTTCTGTTCTGACCTTCACCATAGGTTTGGGGCACAGCGAGCAATTTTACACTCCAGTGCAGCTGTTCATTCTTTAGCTAACACACCAGTTAGTCCACATGGAAGCCGCTCCAAAAGAGTCAACGGTGCGGAAGCCTGCCTCTGTACCTGCGGGAACAAAATCTTGAGCAAAGACCCACATCAGGTCTGCTCGGGCTGCCTTGGGCTGGAACATGCCCGGCTTGCAGTGGAAGTTCCCGGGTCATGCGAGAGCTGTGCTTGTTTCACCTTGAAGGTCCTTCGTCGTCGGCTAGTGTGCCGAGGTAGCTTGTTGGGGAAGGACCCATGCCTGCCGGCTCCTGGGCTGCTGTCTGGGGACGTCGAGGGACATGCCCACCTGAGACTGGAACCGTGTACCAAACCCAGCTAGGGCTCCCAGCTCGAACTGGCCGTTCTGAGCCACCCTGTCGAGGACATGCTGGAGATGGACTATGGAGACGATGAGGACACCTCACCTCGGAACTCCTCATTTCAGAGGAGGACATGGATGACGACATTTTTCTCCCTCTCGCTCAGGCTTCCCTGCCTAGCTTCCTGCCTTTCCCAGGGATTGAACGGTTTCTCCGGCCGCTCACCTGGACATGCAGTCAGTCTGCCGATGCGCAGCAACCAGGCTCAACATCCCCTGACCCACCGTTGTTACTGAAGCAGTCAGATTTCTCTACTAGGGAAAGAAACTGCCTCAGGTCACAAGTGCGGCAAAACATCTCCTGCCTGTTTACCCAGAGATCCCTGAAGATGTTAAATCATCCTGGGTCCAACAGCCTTTCAGCTCCAGATCTCCTGTCCAAAGAGACTCCTTGCTAGACTTTGAGGGTATGGATAAGGCTGGAATGTTGTACATGCCGTCGATGGAACCACTGGTTGTAGCCCTACCTGCACCCACGGCTCTCGGCAACGTCCTCTAGACCTCCTACTCTCCCTTCAAAGGTGGATCACTTCCAGTCTGTGCTAGACAAGAGTACGTAAAAGGCTGCCACACTCTGTTCGAGCTTTGAGCGCCCCCGTACGCTGAGGCTATCACATTGCTTCAGATTGGGTGCTCAACATCATTTCAAGACATTAAAGGCTTCAATTTGCCTCAATTTCTCCTCGTTTCTACGGCGTAGTATTTTACAACGCAGGGAACTAGTGTCCCACGTGGGTGGCTCACTCTTCCATCCACATCCAGTACGATTGGCCCTGTGGACCTGGCCTCTGAATGGTGTGGGCTAGGATCAGCAGAGCTGTCCCAGGCAGTCATTCGAACCATTCAGAATGCTAGGGCTCCCTCCACTAGGTCCCTATATGACTGTAAATGGAGGGTGTTTGATGTGTGGTGCAGGGCAGGGATATCTTACCCTTCCAGTGCCCAGTGAGTGCCATTCTGTCTTTCCTGCAAGAATTGCTGTATTGGAAGAAGGTCTTCTCCACCATTAAAGTATACCTAGCAGCCATTTTTGCCCGTCACTGGGGCTTTGGGAAGAAATTGGCAAGTCAACACCCCCTGGTTTGTAGCTTCATGAGGGTGAGCGCGCAGGCTTCTCCCTGTGTGTCGACCTTTGGTACCCTCTTGGGATGGTGCTGAAGGCCCACTCCAGTCCTCCATTTGAACCTATGGATGGTCTGGACCTTAAGGTGGTGCTACTACTGGCTTTGGTGTCTGCAAAGTGGGTTAGTGACTTACAGACTCTCTCTGTACACTTCTCCTGCACCCAGTTTGCACCAGGTGACATGAGGGTGTCTCTGAATCCCAACCCTGCCTTTGTGCCTAAAGTAGTGAGCTGCTTCTCTCCTCACAGCTTTCTTCCCGCCTCCTTTTTCCTCTTCTGAGGAGGAGTGGTTATACAAGCTGTGTCCGGTTCGCATGCTCGAGGAGTATGTTAATCGGATGGTGCGCTTTGACAGGAGCAACTAGCTCTTTGCATCATGGGGAGGACCTTGTAAGGGGAAACCCATCTCGAAGCAGCTGCTTTCCCATTGGATTGTGGAGGCTATTTCTCTGGCTTACTCCTGCCAGGGCATTCAGGCACTTGTAGGGCTCAGGGCCCATTCTACTAGGGTCCTGTTTGCTTCTTGGGCCCTTTTTCAAGGGCTGTCTGTCGAAGAGATTAGTGCTGTGCCAATCAAGTTCAGAACCTCTGCCATATTGGATGGGTTCCTCACTCTCCAAACCCAACTGGAGTCAACGCGGAGTGAGAAGCAATACTTGTTTTTTGTGCAGCCTATGGTTGGAATAACCAGCACACTATTGAAAACGGATCTTGTGGAATTACTATAGACGTCTCTAGCCTACCTGATGGGATTTTATATATATATTTTTTTTTGTTTAATTATATTTATATTTTAAGTATCATGCCACCATATGTCTGATTTTGTGAAAAAGCATAAAGAAATTTAATTGGATAAGCACGTTCCTCGGTAAAAATAAATGCACTGGGGGTGAATGGAGACCCATCCATAATGGCAGCAGGCCATTACGTCAGCACTAATAGGCAGCACCAGCCCACGGGGCGTCTATGTAAACGATGTCCGTGGTTTTAGCCCCTCCTCTCTTGAATCAATTACCACTTTTGTTCAGACAACCTACGTTTCTCCAGGTTTTTAAAGCAAGGTTGAAGCTGCATTTCAGATCCTGTAGATAGAAAGCCCTCATTTGATCCTTTTGAGCTTGGTTTATTTGGATTTTTGTAGTTTTAACAGATTATTTATTGGTTTATGTCTGTTAAACTAATTTTATCGTGATTTAACTTTGAAATTTGATTTAATCTTTTACGGTACCTTGCTCTTCTTTGGTTGCAGAAGGTGCTTTATAAATAAATAAATGAATTTATTTGCGTTGTCTGATTTTTGTTCACCCTGTCACCTTCCCACCTCTGCTTACCGCTTCTGTAGCTGGAGCCGTTCTTCGTTAGCCTCGCCCTTTTTGACATCTCCAAGAACTGTAAGATCTCAGCTGACTTCCACGTGGACTTGAACCCACCGTGCGTCAGGGAGATGCTGACCGACACCTCCGGCCAACTCTCTCCCATGACTGACTCTGATGGTGGAGGAGAGGTGATGGTGAACGGAGACTCTGGGAAACGGAACGGCCTGCCTGTTCTTCAGAGGGTGTCTGAGGCTCTGCTGCGCTTCCCCACACAGGTACAACCATTCTATTTGGATGCAAATGGGCTCAGTGTTTCTAAATGTTGGTTTGGGGGAGGAACTGGTGACAAACTGGTGAATCGGCATCTAAACCTAAAACCTTGCTCAGGTTTCCTGTGTTTATAGCAGTTGATCCAAAATTTGTCAGAAAAACTCGCTATGGGCTTCGGTGTTACAGGTTGATATAAATTATCTGACCTTAAATAGAAGAAGATGAATCATAAACAATATAACAATATAATATAACAAAGAAACATTTGCAGGTTTACAAGCAAACACACAACTTACACAATGCTAAGAATGGGCGCAGGCAGAAGCATAAGCTTATAAGCCCAGCCCCCCAAACCCTTTGAACTTAAACAAAATTTTAGAATAGCATACCGATTCCATAATTTTTACATCATGTTTGAAATGTATGGGAATATATTCAAATCCCCATTCTAGCTTTATAAAAAAAATAATGACCTTTAATGTTTTATGCATTTTTTCATTGACTTGATTCATAATATTTAATCACATTTGATTTAAACATACCCTTAAACTTTACCATTGTTGAACAGTCTTTTTGCTCCTGGTCTAATTTATTCCACACATCAACCCCAACACAAGAAATACAAAGTTGTTTCATTTTAGTTCTTACTTTAGGCTTTCTAAACATGTTATACCCTCTGAGATCATAAACACTCTCTCTGATCTGGAACAGATCCAGAATTTGTTTTGGCATCAAATTATACATCACTTTATACATAAATGGTGCAGTTCTTAATGTAACTAATTCTCTTAGCTTTAATACTTTTAAACGAGTAAAAAGTAAATGTGTATGCTCCACAAGCTGCTTTATTTACAAGTCGGATTGCTCTCTTCTGAATGATAAACAAAGGCTTTAAGTGGGTTTCGTAGGTATTTCCCCACACTTCAACATAAACGGAACGCCATCAAAGAAATTATCAAACATTTTTGTTATTTTCTTTTGAAAATGATGAAAAACTGAGTCCACCTGATGATCCAACAGCTCCATCTCCTTGGGTTTATTTGTCATTTCTCTGAGCGTCAACCTTTGAGTCTTCTTGCTGGGGGTGTCCACTCCTAGGAAGACTGTCAGTTATTTTAAATGTTATCTCTGTACCATGATGACCTCCAGATTGTTTGGAAATTGCCTTTAACTGATGGCCACCTAAGTCTGATTTTGGCTAGTTTAACTCGGATCTTCAATAAATCCTGTGTTTGTGGGTGCTGGTTATGTGCAAAGTCCAGCAGGTGCAATCAGGTCAACAGCGTATGTCCCTTGCTTCCTGATGCTCGGTTCCTTTCTGCGATAAATTCACTCAGGATGAAACGTGAAGTGTAAAGAAAACAGAAGAGAAAAAATGCTTCCAACAACGTCTGTTAAAGCTCCAAACATGAACACCTAAATGGCCGGTGTTTGATTGGAGTTCTGTTTTAGCTCATCGGACCAGAGTTTAACTTAGGTGTTTGGGGTGTGGTCCCGGGACCCAAGGACAGCAGCTTCCACCTCCTCTGTCAACTGTGGAGCAGAGTAAACTCACATCTAACGCATCCGTCTGGTCTGGTGTTCTGCAGCTTCGAATTGTTCAGGAGTTTTATGTTTACAGAACCAGCCCGTGACCCACTCCACAGACTGCTGGGAAGGTCGAAACCAAAACATTGCCTTTATAAGCGTTTAAAACCTGACCTGTAGCTGTTGCTAGTTATAAATGTGATGTGAAAGGTGCAACCAAAAGGCAGCTGTGTGTGAAAGTGTCAGTGTTGTGCAGCGGACAGGATGAGGGTCTTTATTTGTCCTCTTTAGACTTTTTGTTTGAAGATGGTCCTGTCACACCAGACCAAACAGACGCTACCCAGTATGGTTTTCCTGTGCAGCTTCAGCTGCTTCCCCTCGCTTCTCAGTGAATTATGGGTAAAATTTTAAACTAAAGTTCATTTCAGGTTTTAGTCACTAATGACTTCCTGTCTCCAACCACAGCTAAAGCTATTGACAGTTGTCAGACGGTTTGCTGCCTTGGTTTTAATTATGGTTTGGATAAACCCCCTGCGATGGACTGGCTCTCTGTCCAGGTTGCACCCCTCCTGATTCCCCATTGACCGCTGGAGATGGGCGCCAGCACCCCCCTCCCCTCTCCTCCCCTCCCCACGACCTTACGTGGACAAGCGTGTTCAGAAAATGGAAGGATGGAGAAACCCCAAAATGTTTAGAAGAAGGATCAGATATGCTACATTTACTTACAAATAGTCTTTTTGTTATGAAAGTGAAGTGGATCCCTCAAAGCCTTCTCCACTGCAGTCTTGGTGAAGGCTTCAGGAGACATAAGTAGTCTTTCTTATCTCCTAAAGTAATACACAATGGTACACATTGTGGGCGACGGTGGCACAGGAGTTAAGTGCTCGCCCCGTAATCGGAAGGTTGCAGGTTCGAGCCCCGCTCAGTCTGTCGCTGATGTTGTGTCCTTGGGCAAGACACTTAAACCACGTTGCCTGCTGGTGGTGGTCGGAGGGACCGGTTGCTCCAGTGCTCGGCAGCCTCGCCTCTGTCAGTGCGCCCCAGGGCAGCTGTGGCTACATCGTAGCTCATCACCACCAGTGTGTGAATGTGTGTGTGAATGGGTGAATGACTGGTTGTGTTGTGAAGCGCCTTGGGGGGTTCCAGGACTCTAGAAGGTGCTATATCAAATACAGACCATTTTACCATTTACATACTCAAGAAAAATGGTACCTTAACATCCTCCTAGAGGAACTCCAAAAACCATCTAACAACAGTTTGGTGGTAGAGCACTGGCCAAGAAGGCTAAAATTATACCTAACTGGATCCGAAACAAAACATCAATATGTTGGGTCCAGATGCAGGAAACCTCAAGCATTGGTAATGAGGAATTAAGTTATGTCATGCAGGATCTGGACCAGAGTCTGGCGCGTTTGATTGGGCAGACTGAATTGTGATGGGCTGTGGCGAGTCTGCGTCAAGTTCAAATTTTTGCAGTTGACCCAAATCCTTTTGAAGTGAAGAAGCATAGAGCTGAACATGACTGACAGCATGGTACAGGAGATAGGCCAACACTAAATAATATTGACTCAGTATTTGTTTTTATTGGTTTGTCCTGCTGTTTGGTGCCATGGTTTGGAAATCTGTCCGTAAAAAAGGGGAACTGGGTGAATTAATATGGTCAAATGTATCCACATGTGGTGGATTGGTGCGAGAGATGTTAAGCCACTTCATGTGACCTGACTCGCATGCTGTACTCGTACCCACAACTCCATGGCCCCGGGAGTCGGTGTTTAGCTGTCCTTTCTGGGGCTCTTGGGACCCGGGTCACTATAAAACCCTTCCTAGCTATTTTTGGGCTTCCACTGGATATTTGCCCAGATGTTGTATTTTGCTTGCGTGGACGTCTTCCAAGCCTCCTTCAGTTTCTTTTTGGTTTCAAGGATTTGTGTCATTTCCTAAGTTAGAGAAGACAGAGATGGACTGTTTTCTTCCAGCTGGCTCAACCCTCTTAAATAAGTAGTAGCCCTTATGTTGTGATTTTGTGTTTGATGTTGACACATCGCCTGCTGCAAAAAAAATTCAAGTCTTTGATTTATTGATTTGATTTAATTTCAATACCAATGAAAGACATCGAAACTGATGGAATTCTTGTAATAGCGTTTCAGTAACCGTAGAAACGCCTGACAAGAAGATCTAAAATCATTGCAACTTTGTGAAAACCGATACTTGTCATTCCCTGAACCTTTGGTTTTGCCTTATTTGACATTAGCTAATTTTAGAGCTGTGACACCTTTACAACCCTGACTGGAAAAACTCTTGGCAGGGCATCTTCTCTGTGACCAACCCCCATGCAGACATCTTCCTAGTGGCCCGTGTGGAGAAGGTGCTGCAGAATGGCATCACCCACTGTGCTGAGCCATACATGAAAACCCCAGACACTAAGGTCTTCTGTGTTTCATATTTACCATATTTATACTAGATGCTTTGAAATGAGTCTTTATTATGTCTCTCCTGCATGTTCACAGGCAGGTCAGAAGGTGCTTAAAGCTGCCAAGCAGACCTGCCAACGTCTGGGCCGATACAGGATGCCATTCGCCTGGGCAGCTAAGTAAGACAAATAACTCACTCACTCACTCACTCACTCACTCACTCACCTACCTTCTAGACAGCTTCACCCTCACTTGGGTCTTGGGTTTGTTGGCCCCAGCAGGGGCTCTATGCAGCAGCCTTAGCACCAAACCCCTTCTTCCAGTATAAACACAACATTACGCAGCAATAGGGTGTTGGGGCCTAGCTTGCAGGGTGATAGTATCTGGAGGTGCCTCGCCCTTGCTTTACTCGAACCCGTCTCACCCTGGATTTTCTCTGTCCCGCTCTGAACTTGAGACAGTTCTCCACACCTTCATCTCCTCACGCTTAGACTACTGTAACTCTCTTTTCACGTGTCTGAGCAGAACCTCCCTGAACCGTCTACAGGTGGTTCAGAACACCTGTGCTCGGCTTCTGACCAAGTCCTCCAAACACACCCACATCACCCCGCTTCTCTTCCAGCTTCACTGGCTGCCAGTCAACTTCAGGGTTCATTCCAAGATCCTGGTTCTGGTCTATAGGGCCTTACATGGACAAGCACCATCTTACATTGGTGATCTTCTCAGTCCCTACACCCCCAGCAGGTCCCTGAGGTCCAGTGATCAAAGCCTACTGGTTGTGCAGCACCAGGCTAAAGGTCAAAGGTGACAGATCATCTGCTGCTGTGGCCCCCAGACTCTGGACCTCTCTTCCCCTGAGCCTGAGATCAGTGGACTCAGTGGTCTCCTTTAAAAAGCAGCTGAAGACTCACCTGTTCAGGCTTTGGTGGGACCTTCATCACCCTCTCCTTATTCTGCTCTTCCCCACCTGGGGAAGGCAGACTCCCCAGGATCCACTGATTTCGCTTTTTCCTATTCACTCTCTCTCTTTATTGACATTTTTTAATCACAAATGTCAATTTTTGCTTATTTTAAACATAGTTTAAATCATTTTCTAAATCTTTTTTAAATTTAAAATGTTTTGTTTTTGTGAAGCACCTCGTGATTTTTATCCTGAGAGGCGCTACAGAAAAGATCTTTTCTTTCTTGTTCCTGTGTCTCAGTTTTAGTACATTTTACACACCTTGGCTTTGGGGGCTCTGATGTCAACAAACATTGAAGTCTTCAAACTGCCACCACCAGCTCTGATTTTAATGCACTGTAGACACAAACATCAGCACCCTTACACTAGGGCAGAGGACAACAGGGCATGGGGATCACCTCAGGTGGTCTCTGGTGTAGCACCCCTCTGGTGTGGTGGTGTCTGTGTCTGGGCTGTGGCTGACAGGCCCCAGGATGGGTGGCGATGGCTCTTAGGGGATTTCCTGGCTGGCTAGTGGTCTCCCCTAGGGTCTGCCCTCTCCCATTGTTCCTTTGGGCATTCCCTACTGTTAATTGCTGTTAGGTAATTTGATTTTATCCCATATTACCTTTAAGGACGACACACCCTTTGATAGAGAGAGAGAGTAAATTGATTATTTGTAATGTCCATGTGTGTGTGGCTCAACCAGCCCCCACTCTGCTTCAGCCTCAAAGCTTTCTCCTCACCTGCTCTGTATACCTGCATTCTGCAATTATCTGGTAGATAATATTTAACCTCCATAACCCTGGAACCTGAAATAAGCACACATGACAACAAGGAAGACATTTTACACTGAATTAGCCAAATGAGGGGGAGATCACCATGACACATAACTCTCTCCAGAGCTAGCTGCCAGGCGACTCCCCCAGCCCTCAGAGTCTTCAGTGGTTTTATTCACCAAATGGATGGGGGAGAAGGCGGGGCATTCTCAAGTTACAGAGGTACAGAGTTCTCTCAATTAACATCCTTGCTCAACCTTTTTATGAACAGCTAACACAGAGATTCATGATGTGTAATGGGCATCTTTTAGGTCTCAAAAAGGCACATTTATAAAAATACCCAACAATATCCATTCCGTGTCTAGCCCTTTGAGTCCTGAAGAGTTGCTTTCAACATCAATTCCAGATGACAAATTACTACATACTAGTGCTGAAACAAATATACAAATGGGAAACACACACATACTTGTATGCCTATAGGGAGATCCTGTTCTGATATAACGTCATCGTCGTCGTCGTCTTCCTCTGCTTATCCGGGTCCGGGTCACGGGGGCAGCATCCCAACTAGGGAGCTCCAGACCGTCCTCTCCCCGGCCTTCTCCACCAGCTCCTCCGGCAGGACCCCAAGGCATTCCCGGACCAGAATGGAGATGTAACCTCTCCAACGTGTCCTGGGTTGACCCGGGGGCCTCCTGACGGCAGGACATGCCCGAAACACCTCCCCAGGGAGGCGTCCAGGAGGCATCCTGACCAGATGCCCAAACCACCTCAACTGACTCCTTTCGATCCGGAGGAGCAGCGGTTCTACTCCGAGTCCCTCCCGAATGTCCAAGCTCCTCACCCTATCTAAGGCTGAGCCCGGCCACCCTACGGAGGAAACTCATTTCGGCCGCTTGTATCCGCAATCTCATTCTTTCGGTCATTACCCAAAGCTCATGACCATAGGTGAGGATTGGGGCGTAGATCGACCGGTAAATCGAGAGCCTGGCTTTCTGGCTCAGCTCCCTCTTCACCACGACAGATCGGCTCAGCGTCCGCATCACTGCAGACGCCGAACCAATCCACCTGTCGATCTCCCGATCCCTCCTACCCTCACTCGTGAACAAGACCCCGAGATACTTAAACTCCTCCACTTGAGGTAGGACCTCTCCCCCGACCCGGAGTTGGCAAGCCACCCTTTTCCGGTCGAGAACCATGGTCTCAGATTTGGAGGTGCTGATCCTCATCCCAGCCGCTTCACACTCGGCCGCGAACCTACCCAGCAAGAGCTGAAGGTCAGAGCTGGATGAAGCTAGGAGGACCACATCACCCGCAAAAAGCAGAGATGAGATTCTCCTGCCATTAAATTGACACACTCCACACCACGGCTGCGCCTAGAAATTCTGTCCATAAAGGTAATGAACAGAACCGGTGACAAAGGGCAGCCCTGGCGGAGTCCAACCCTCAGCGGGAACAGGTCCAACTTACTACCGGCTATGCAGACCAAACTCACGCTCCTCTGGTAAAGGGACTGAATGGCCCTTAACAGAAAGCCACCCACCCCATACTCCTGTAGAGTCCCCCAGAGGGTGCCCCTGGGCACACGGTCATAAGCCTTCTCCAAATCCACAAAACACATGTGGATTGGTTAGGCAAACTCCCATGCCCCCTCCATCACCCTTGCAAGGGTATAGAGCTGGTCCACAGTTCCACGGCCAGGACGAAAACCACATTGCTCCTCCTCAATCTGAGATTCAACTATCGATCGGACCCTCCTCTCCAATACCTTGGAGCAGACCTTTCCAGGGAGGCTGAGGAGTGTAATCCCCCTATAGTTGGAACACACCCTCAGGTCACCCTTCTTAAAGATGGGGACCACCACCCCGGTCTGCCACTCCACAGGAACTGCCCCCGATGACCACGCAATGTTGCAGAGATGTGTCAACCATGACAGCCCTACAACATCCATAGCCTTGAGATACCCAGGACGAATCTCATCCACCCCCGGGGCTCCACCGCTGTGTAGTTGTTTGACTACCTCAGCAACTTCTGCCCCAGAGATTGGACAGTCCATCCCCAGGTCTCCCGGCTCTAGTTCCTCCTCGGAATGCGCATAGGTGGGATAGAGGAGCTCCTCAAAGTATTCCTTCCACCGTCCGACTATAGCCCCAGTTGACGTCAGCTGCTCCCCATCCCCACTGTAAACAGTGTGAGCGAGTTGCTGCCTTCCTCTCCTGAGGCGCCAGACAGTTTGCCAGAACCTCTTTGGTGCAGATCAATAGTCTTTCTCCATGGCCTCACCAAACTCCTCCCACGCCCGAGATTTTGCCTCGGCATTTGCCACTGCTGTACCCCGCTTGGCTATCTGGTACCTGTCTGCTGCCTCCAGAGACCCAAAGACCAGCCACGCCCTGTAGGCCTCCTTCTTCAGCCTGATGGCTCCCCGAACCTCTGGTGTCCACCAGCTGGCACGGGGGTTGCCACCACGACTGGCACCAGCCACCTTGTGACCACAGCTAGCAACAGCCGCCTCAACAATTGCAGAGTGGAACAAGGCCCACTCGGACTCAATGTCCCCCACTGTTCTCGGGACGCGGTCAAAGCTCTGCCGGAGGTGGGAGTTGAAGACCGTCTTAACAGATTCTTCTGCCAGGCGTTCCCACCAGACCTTCACTATGCGTTTCAGTCTGCCAGGTCTACGCGGCATCTTCCCCGCCATCTGATCCAACTCACCACCAGGTGGTGATCAGCTGACAGCTCCGCTCCTCTCTTCACTCTGGTGTCCAAAACATATGGCCGCAGGCCAGATGATACGACTACAAAGTCTATCATCGACCTGCGACCTAGGCTGCCCTGGTACCAAGTGTACCGATGGGCATCCTTATGTTCGAACATGGTGTTCGTTATGGCCAAACTGCGGCTTGCACAGAAGTCCAATAACGAAACACCACTCGAGTTTAGATCAGGCGGGCCGTTCCTCCCAATCACACCCTTCCATGTCAAGCTGTCATTGCCCACGTGAGTATTGAAGTCCCCCAGCAGGACAATGGAGTCCCCTGATGGAGCACTATCTAGCACTCGTCCCAGGGACTCCAAAAAGGGTGGGTACTCTGAACTGATATTTGGCCCATAAGCACAAACAACAGTCAGGACCCGTTCCCCGACCCGAAGGCGCAGGGAAGCTACCCTCTCGTCCCCCAGGGTAAACCCCAACACACAGGCAGAGAGTCTTGGGGCTAACAAAAAGCCAACCCCAGCCCTCCGCCTCTCCTCCGGAGCAACTCCAGCAAAGGAGAGTGTCCAACCCCTCTCAAGGACTTGGGTTACAGAGCCAATGCTATGTGTCGAGGTGAGTCCGACTATATCTAGCCGGTACCGCTCAACCTCTGCCACAAGCTCCTGCTCCTTCCCCGCCAGCGAGGTGACGTTCTATGTCACAAAAAGCAGTTTTCTTGTCCGGGGATCGGACCGCCAAGACTCCCGCCTTGGTCTGCCACCCAACCCACATTGCACCAGACCCTTCATGTTCCTCCTGCGGGTGGTGGGTCCACAGTTGGATGAGCCCATGTATCCCGTTCCGCCTGGGCCCGCCCGGGCAAAAGGGGGGAAAGCCGGGCCACAAGGCGCTCGATCAGGGGCCACAACCCCAGGCCTGGCTCCAGGGTGGGACCCCGGTAACCCTCCGGGCCGGGTACTCCGACTCTTTGTTTTAACGTCCATGAAAGATCCTGTGAACTGTTCTTTGTCTCACCCTTCACCTAAGACCAATTTGTCATGAGAGACCCTACCAGGGGCACAAAGTGTTCTGATATAATAAAAGTTATTGGCAGGCCGAAGCAGGATACATTTAAAAACATCAAAAGGCTGCAGCTGGAAAAACTAGCGGCCTCCCTGAGGAATGCTAGTCCCTTAATTGTCTGAATGATGATGTCAGTGTGTGTTTGTGAGGTGTGATGAGTGGGCAACCAATGCCTGTGTTATCTGATCTAGGCAGGTGTTCAAAGACGCTCAGGGCAGTCTGGACATGGACGGGAAGTTTTCACCTCTCTATCGTCAGGACAGCAGCAAAATCTCCACCGATGACCTCCTCAAGCTGCTGGTCGAAATCAGGAAGTGAGTCATCTTCACATCTGCAATAATCATGCTAACTGTTACTATTTCACCAAAACAGTCATGTGTGAATGAACACATTCCCTGTAAGTCCAGAGGGAGGGCTTGTTATTCTGTGTATTCAGCCCTGTCCTTCTTTTTTCTTTGTCAGACCTGAGAAGAGCAAACTTCAGATCATCCCAGGACAACTAAACGTGACCATTGAATGTGTCCCACCTGATTTTTCAAGTATGTAATTTCTTTTTATAAAAGGCTAGATTATCCAGAGCTATCTCTGTAGTTATGCTGCTACAGGCTTAGACTGCTGGAGGATACACTGACCACTTTCCACACTCTACTACTTTCTTCTACAGTTGTCTCTATTACTGTATTATTTCCTGCTATTTCAGCTGTTAACTTTATTTTTTCTAAGTGTTTTTCTCCCCAGAAGAAGCTACAGTGACGTTCTGCTGAGCTGTGGTGGCCTCATGGACACACACACACACACACACACACACACACACACACACACACACACACACACACACACACACACACACACACACACACACACACACACACACACACACACACACACACACACACACACACACACACAGACACAGACACAGACACACACACACACACACAACATATATACCAAGTAGTGTTTCTATGGTTACATTGTGATTTCTTTGTAAATGTTCTATTTGGTGAGAGATAAACTTTATTGTATTTATCCTAGCGAATCTATAATTAAACGGGTAAACTAGTAGTAGGACTTTCAACATCAAAGAGAGTCAGGAGAGGCAAAAAGCCATTATCAGGAGAAGGAGAACGTTTTAGTGGTTAGCAGCAGTGTGTTAGACGATGGCCCCCTCCATGAAGCCACCACAGCTCAGCAGAACATCGTTGTAGCTTCTTCTGGGGAGAAAAACACTTAGAGAGAAAATAAAGTTAACAGCTGAAATAGCAGGAAATAATACAGTTAAAGAGCAGATAGTAGAAGAAAGTAGTCGAGTATGGAAAGTGGTCAGTATGTCCTCCAGCAGTCTAAGCCTATAGCAGCATAACCACAGAGATAACTCTGGATAACCTAGCCTTTGTAGATGGAGGCATGTTGGAGGCAGGGCAAGGGATGTTAGCCCAGATCTGTACTCCCCCACTTGTATAGATCTGGGCTAACATCAGATTTTAACCATAGGCCCCATCAAATAAAAATGTTTTAAGCCTAGTCTTAAAAGTAGACAAGGTGTCTGCCTCACGGACTAAAGATGGGAGCTGGTTCCACTGGAGAGGAGCCTGATAACTAAAAGATCTGCCTCCCATCCTATTTTTAGATATTCTGGGAACCACCAGTAAACCTGCAGTCTGAGAGCGAAGTGCTCGGTTAGGAACGTATGGAACAATCAGATCACTGATGTATGATGGACCTTGATTATTAAGAGCTTTATATGTGAGAAGAAGGATCTTAAAATCTATTCTGAATTTAACAGGTAGCCAATGTAGGGAAGCTAAGACAGGAGAGATATGATCTCTATTTTTAATTCTCATCAGAACTCTAGCTGCAGCATTTTGGACAAGCTGAAGACTTTTAACTACATTCTGTGGACTTCCTGAGAGTAATGAATTACAGTAATCCAGTCTTGATGTAATAAGTGCATGAACTAGTTTTTCAGCATCACTCCTGGAAAGTATGCTTCTAATCTTAGCAATATTCCGAAGGTGGAAAAAGGAAATCCTACAAACCTGTTTAACCTGGGATTTGAATGACATGTCCTGGTCAAAGATAACACCAAGGTTCCTTACTTTGTTCTCGGAGATTAATGTAATGCCATTCAGGTCAGGTGATTGACTAAGCAATTTCCTTTTCTAGATTTCTGGTCCAAAGATGAGAACTTCCATCTTGTCTTGATTTAAAAGCAAAATGTTTAGAGTCATCCAATGTTTTATATCCTCAAGACAAGCCTGTAATCTACCTAACCGATTAGGTTCATCAGGGTTAATGGATAAATATAGCTGAGTATCGTCAGCATAACAGTGGAAGTTTATCCCATGCTGTCTAATGATTTTACCAATTGGGAGCATATATATAGTAAAAAGAATTGGTCCAAGCACTGAACCCTGTGGTACTCCGCAAGTAACCCTGGAGTATGAAGAAGATTTGTCATGTACATTTACAAAATGAAATCTGTCAGACAGGTAGATTTAAACCAGCCTAGCGTTGTTCCTTTGATCCCTACAACATGTTCAAGTCTTTCTAAAAGAACATTGTGATCAACCGTGTCAAAGGCAGCACTGAGATCTAACAAGACTAGAACAGACACAAGATTCTTATCTGAGGCCATGAGAATATCATTTGTAACTCTCACTAATGCAGTTTCAGTGCTGTGATACTCTCTAAAACCAGACTGAAATGTTTAAATGCTCACATACTTGGATGGCCACTATTTTCTCCAGGACTTTGGATAAAAATGGAAGGTTAGATATTGGTCTATAATTCATTGGGTCATCTGGATCCAGAGAAGGCTTCTTAAGTAAAGGTTTGATTAAGAAGCTGTACCACCCTGAATCACGTAAAAATATGACTCAACGTAATACACAAGACAGCCCCATCTAGTGGACAGCTGTTGTTTCTGCGCATTCCTGTAGTTATCGTTCATTTATCGTTATTGAGGTGAAATCTTCAATATATCGTGATATATGCCATATCGCCCAGCCCTAGTTCCTGTGTTGAGTTGGCGTCCAGTTTCTCCTATGTGTGTTTTATTACAGAGTTTAATGGGATTTTGTATACGACTCCACATTTTTGCGTTGACTTTTGGGTGTACCAGTCTTTTCCTAACTGTCATATACAGTTTACTTGGTGTGTTTATGTTGTGTTTTTTCATCGCTGTTACCTTTTCTGTTATGCCTTTGATGTATGGATGGGTTTATTACTGGTGTTTTCTGTGTTTTTGGGTTTTTTGTTTTGGTTCATCTTTTCTTTTTGTTGTTACTTGTTGCTTTCCTTCGTTACTTGCCCATGTTGGGTCTCCATGGGTTTTAAAATAATTTTGTATGTGCTGTTCCTCTTGTCTGCGTTCATCTGTCTCTGTTATTATGTTGAAATCCTTATCAAATCATGCTCATATGCAGGTAACGGTCATGTTGTTGAAACAGGTCAGAACACTGCATACAGGCGCCTCCATAGTCTCAGCTGAATTTACAGCTTGAAACTCCTTTTATAGACACCTGTCAGCTCTTCTAACATCACCTGCTGGTGTTTACTGATCCTTCCTGAACTCTTTCTGGTGTTTACAAATACGTTTCCTGTCTTTACAGACACTGTGAACTCATCTTACGTCCCCGTCAAACCCTTCGAAGACAGCTGTGAGCGAGTTTCTGTGGAGGTCGAGGAGTTCCTCCCTGAGGAAGCCAAGTACAACCACCCCTTCACTACGTACAAGAACCAGCTCTACATCTACCCCTTACAGCTCAAATATGACAACCAGAAGACCTTCACCAAGGTGTGTCCGGGTAGATCCCTGTGGGTCAGAGGGTTGTTCAAAGGTCTGAGCGGTAGTTGGCTTGTTGTTCCTGCCTTCAGAGTAAAGCAGATGTGAAAGATTGGGTCACTCACACACTCCTTTGTTTGGCTATATGTGTATGTGTGTGTTTTCACCATCGACATACATATATGGACAATGGGTTTCCATAGGCTCCAATAACATGTTTTTGAAGAAAAATGGGAGGTGGCCACCACCGCCATTTTGACCGTGTCAATGGTTCCGTCAAGCCCAGACAATTCCATAAAAGGGAAGAGAGGTGGAGCTGAGGGTGGGGCTGTAAGGCTGGGATCAACTGACGACACCCGGTCGAACTAGCTGCAAGCTAACCTGAAGCTAACCCAAAGCTAACGCGGAGGTGGGAGCTAAGCTAACAAAGGTAGCAACCTAGCTACAACCGGAGTTAACTGTGCACAACACCAGAGCTTCTGAGTCAGAGATACGCCGGGCTGACCGCTGGGTAAAACCGGGTGGAACACAGAGGTCTCCGAGACCTCCACAAGCCGGCAGCCGCACAGCAGACAAGCGCCGCTGCGATCTGAGATGCGCAGAGCTAATGCAGGGGAGAACCGGGTGGAAAGGTTTCCATCCCAGACCTCCACAAGCCGTCAGCCCGCGCAGCAGACAGAAGCCGCAATCAGACAGAGATGGACCGAGCTGCGGGGAGGGGAGAACCGGGTGGAAAACATCGGTCTCCCGAGAGCTCCACAAGCCGATAGTGGGAACCCAGCTCCACCAACATGTTATATTTCAACCCATTTTCTAAAGTGCAGCATCATGTTAAATGCACTGGGGTTTACCCTATTACATTCAAATGTCATGGTTAAACAGTACATGTTAAAATCTAAGCTCAGCTCGGCAGTGACCTAAAATACATAAATATAATTTTACTTACCGAAAAAAATGAAGTGGAGACTCCTTGGATGCTCTATTAGTGCAATTAATGCCACAGCAAGTCATTTTGTCCAACAATTGCACAAAAATATCCAAAAATAATACACAAACGCTACAACTAATGGTCTAAGTTGAGAGACTGAAACTGACCGAGCAGTTTCCAGGCCAGACCGAGGCTCTACTGAGGTCTTTCCACGGAGCTAGCTCTGTGGTCACGTGGGTCTGATGCTCATTAATTATACAGAATTTTAGGCTTTTAATACACTTAAACAGAAGAGTGAGAAAAAATTCACCCTCCTCAGAGTTGTCATGAGTGTAAACTAGATCATTTAAACCAAAAACATGTTCTGGTACCAGGCTGTAAACATGTTTATTTCTGCTGTGAAATTGGTATTTTTAACATGGGAGTCAATGAGGATTTGCTCGCTTCTGACACCAGCCCCTAGTGGATGAGGGTGGAACTGCAATTTATTTCACTTCCGTGTTTGCCTCAATTTTTGACCCGCTTTGTGGGGGCTTGGTTTTCACACACTCTTTCTCTACATTAGGCTCGAAACATTGCAGTCTGTGTGCAGTTTAGAGATTCTGATGAAGATGGAGCAGCTCCTCTACAGGTGAGTGAAACGTTACTTCTCCTGCAAAAAGCTGCAATAGACAAATCCATCACTTCATACATATAAATACACCATTACAAGTGGAAGCACTTGAATACATGAATCTTATCCCACACTGTTGGATTTTTCTTTTTAAACATTGTTTTTTTTAACACATTTTTATTTAATATTTAAAACAAACAAGAGGACCCCCCCCCCCCCAAAGACAAACAGGAAAAAAAAACTTGTTTCAAAGCAACAAAAGATGTATCAAGGGTACGCTATCAAAATAAAACATAAATGACCATCAGAAGACATTAAATCCCCCAGCATACCCCCCCCCCCCCAATACTATGCCTATCCTAACTATCCTCTCTTGGTGAGCATAGAAGAAGAAGAAGAAAAGATCTTTTCTGTAGCGCCTCTCGGCGCTTCATAGGACTCAACCTCAACGATCCAATGGCCACATGCTGGCAGGTGAAAGTCCTTCCACCTGGACAAGATTAAATCTTTTAGCCAGCGAACAATTAAAAGCAACACAATTGTGCAGGCGTTTGTCCGCGGGATTGTGCACTGCTACCACTCCAGAGCCGTCGAGGTGTCCAGACGCACAGCGGTCCTCCTGGAGAGGGCATCAAAGGAAAGCTTCCAAAATGGCTGCAGTTTTGGGCACATCCAGAAATTGTGAAAAAGGTGTGCTGTACTCACACGTTGGGTCCAGGTCTGGCTTGGACCAATTGCAGACGGGGCCCCGCCTACAACTGGACGATACCGTGTCTTACACTAGATGTGTAAATGTTCTTTAGAGCCTCGCTCCAGACCTCCTGCAGCAATCCAACGCCCAGCTCCTGTTTCCATTTTAAAACATTCCGACCGGCCCGGGCTTTTGACCCCTTAGATAAGGCTTAAGGACTCCCAGGCAGGAGAGAACAGCATTCACCAGGTTTGGTTGATCTTGATGGATGTTTAAATGAGTTGGCTCCACGTTATCTGGCGGATCTGATTCAGCCTCATGTTCCCGCAAGGAACCTTCGATTAGCACAACAAGGACTGTTGGTCGTCCCTAAACACAGACTGGAATCTCGAGGGGGTCGTGCTTTCCCGGTGCCGGGGCCGAGGCTCTGGAATGAGCTACCTGCCTGGGTGAAACAGGCCAGCGCGCTCGGCAGGTTTAATAAGAGCCGTCTGAAAACACACTTTTATTCTTTAGCTGTTATTCAGGAAGAGTCCCGTTAACGGATGGCTTTGCACTTTTTGCTGCCCCGCCTAGATTATATCTGCATGTTTTTGTTGGTTTTTAAATGGTTTTATATGTTTTTTTTTTTTTATGTTTATTTCTGCTGTGCAGCGCTTTGTTTGGTCCCTGGGCCGTGTGAAGGCGCTATATAAATAAAGTTTTAGCTAGTTATTAGTTGATTAAATTTGACTAAACTTTCATCTGAAAGAAGCAAAACTTTTGGATTTGATAACTGACTCCAAAATCCAGATTACTCCACCTTTCAGCTTTAGTCAGAAACTTCTTGTCCATGAGCAACTGAGTTCCTGGAGATGACTTGAAGAGGATCTTCAAGGAGCTGGTGTTCATGGCTGGCAGGCCGATGAAAGGTCACGCTTATCTGTGTTCATCAATGGATTCAAATGATTGATTATGTTTTGTCTGAGTGAGCGGGCAGAACAGAGCCCACACACACACACACACGCACACACACACACACACACACACACACACACACACACACACACACACACACACACACACACGAAGCCCGAGGTGTGGGTTGACTGGAGCTGAGAGAAGACGGGATTTTTTCACAGGTTCCATATTAGAGGTAAAGTTGTTATTTTGTTTGTAAAACTTTATTTGTTTACGTTGTCATGATCTGCCCCGGCCTCCCTGACTGTGTCGCTCCTGCCTTAATTAGTCCTGTTGTTCTCACCTGCCCCTCGTTAATCTGCCCACGTGTTCCTAAGTCTCCGTGTGTTTTTATACCTCCCGTCTTGTACCTGTCCTCGTTGGATCATTGAATGTGCATGTCCTCGTTTTGTCCTGTCGCTCCCGGTTACTATTAAATCCATTTTAATTTCATCTGTGCCTGCTCTCCTGCCTCCTGAACCCACCTCCACACATGGTCCTACCATCTCCACCCTCAAAACATGACATACGTCCATTTCTCACTGGAAAGTCAAGCGTGCAATCAGCCTGTTCTGTCTGGAAATGCTCCGTGTTTGGGTGTCTGTGGTACGGTACAAGCTCCAACAGGACGGCATGTGTGAGCGATAAGATCTTCCACCCTCATCCTCTCTCAGGTAATCGGGACTCCCATCAGGCCCAGAGCCTCCTGGCGTTTCTCTGTCACTGCACAAACGCCTTCCCCCTCCGTCTTCTGGGTTCGCCTGGTCCCAGTGCAGCTCTGGTTCTGATCAGTCAGCTGGCTACAGATCTCCATCCCCGTTGTGGCCAGCGCATCTCATTACTGTTCAGTAAAGCTGATGGACGGATCCTAATTACAGTTTTAAGCCGTCAGAACACACCTAAACTCTTCTGTGTCGCTCCTCAGAAGAAACGTCCTGACCTGAATCACTTTTGTCCCGTTGGAAAGGTTTGATTTTTCCCACAGAGCCGCTCCTAAAAGCAGCTCCTGCTCAGCCGATCGTATCAAAGAGGCCGAACCAGGAAGCAAACCACAGTTTTAAGCTTTTCTGCTTGTTTAAAAACGAGACTTCCATTTATCTGTAAATAATCGTGAGGAAACTAAGAAACAGTCTGAAAACACACACAGGTGAAAAGGATTTTTCTCTGCTTCGGCTTTTTGTTGAGGAGAAACCTTCTCAGGCACATCGTAGTGTAATGGAGGTCCGGAGACGCGATCGTCCTCTACTTATCCCGGATCCCGTTTCCGTGTCCATGGCTCCTACAGCACTGCAGACTAGAAGTCACAACTGCTGCTTGCATAAAAAAGAACTGCAGCTTGGACTCTGTGGGATCAGCGCCGCCGGCTGCCTCTTCCAGCAGCTCTGGAGAGGTCCCTCCCCTCCCGCCGATCACCCTGACCCCGCACAACAAGGTCACATAGCAGTCTTGATGTCGTAATGGTGGCTGTGAGTCCTCGAGCGGGCGAACCTTTGTCTTGGCAGCCTCGTTGTGCTTCAGCTGCAAGTTCTGCGTACCTCGGTTTCTCGTGCCTCCATGGCGTCCTCCCAAGTTACAGTGAGCTCCATGATGTCAACAGTCTTCAGAGCTGCTGACCACAAGACCACGAGCAGCTGATGGAACAGAGAAGAGCTGCTGTGGAGGTTTGGGTGAACAAGCAGTCCTATGGCCTTGTTCATGAAGCAGATTTTTGAAGATGCATTATTCATGTTTATATTTATGCATTTAGCAGATGCTTTTGTCCAAAGCGACTTACAAGTGATAATCGGCATGTTGCCCTTGAGGCTAACAACAACAACATTGACATCAGTCATGGAGAGGAGGGAACAAGGAGTGGACGGTAGGGGGGGGGGACGGGTGCAGGGAGGGTGCTAGTTAAGAAGATGCTCTCTGAAGAGCAGGGTCTTCAGGAGTTTCTTGAAAATTGAAAAGGAAGCCCTTGTTCTGGTAGTGTTAGGAAGGTCATTCCACATTTGTGGAACGATGCATGAGAAGAGTCTGGATTGTCCTGAGCGTGGTGTAGGCACTGCTAGCCGACCATCCTGTGATGACCGGAGCGGCCGGGCCGAGACTTAAGCCTTTGCAAGAGGATTCAGGTAGATGGGAGCCGTACCATCTCGGACTTTGTATGCTAGTGTTAGCAATTTGAATTTGATGCGTGCTGCTAGCGGTAGCCAGTGGAGCTCAATGAACAGAGGGGTGACGTGTGCTCTTTTAGGCTGGTTGAAGACCAGACGCGCCGCTGCGTTCTGGACCATTTGAAGAGGTCTCACAGTCCAGCCTGGAAGACCGGTTAGAAGGGCGTTGCAGTAACCGAGGCGGGAGATGACAGTAGATTGCACCAGGAGCTGGGTGGCATGTTGTGTTAGGTATGGTCTGATCTTTCGTATGTTGTACAGCGCAAAGCGGCATGAACGGGCAACAGAGGGAACATGATCTTTAAAGGTCAGGTGTTCATCAATCACAACACCCAGATTTCGAACTGCCTTTGAAGGAGCCAGAGATAGGAAGTCATTTTGGATTGAGATATTGTGCTGTGTGGATGGTTTTGCTGGGATGACAAGTAGTTCAGTTTTAGAGAGGTTGAGTTGGAGATGGTGGGATTTCATCCATCTTGATATGTCAGAGAGACAATTTGATATTCGTGCAGAGACAGTGTGGTCGTCCGGTGGGAATGACAGATAGAGCTGGGTGTCGTCTGCATAGCAGTGGTAGGAGGAGCAACTTGCCACTGTTGCATCAGGTCACTTTAGCGTTTGTAAGTCTGGTTTCTCACAGCTTGTGACAAGATTGTTTCTAAAAGCTTTATAGTTTTAGCTCGGGCGTCTGCTGTCGTCTACCCGGTTGTTGATGCCGCTCTTCCTCAGAGTCTAGTTTTGGGTTCATGTGCTAAATATCATTTGTTCCATGTGGAATCAAACTGAGTGTTTTTGCTGTAAAGAAGCTCAGCTGTGGTGCTGTTGTGTAATTTGACCCAAACACTTCTGGAACATTACACTAAATTATTTGTAATTCTTAGTTTGATAAACAGTTTGTTTCTGGAGGTCTTTGGTTGACCACGGATCACTCACAGCAATCTTAAAACAACCCGCGTTCTAAAACTGATGAAGTGCTTTTTATCTAACATTTAGTGCATCTACGGCAAGCCGGGAGACTCACTCTTCACCAGCAGCGCCTACGCAGCTGTCCTCCACCACAACCAGAGCCCGGAGTTCTACGAGGAGGTCAGACCAGACGTTTATTTTTTGTTTCTTTTTGCCTTTTATGTGACTTTTAAGCTACTTCATGTGGAACAAACCCCTAAAAACACGATGCTGGCAAAAGTTCCTCAAAAACCACGTAGATTGTTGTAAAAGGATCAAAGTTTAGGGTGACTAGTGAAATTCCCAGTCAGGTGTGATTATCTCCTAAATCCAGACAGAGCCGTGAACTCACACAGGAGCCAGGAGCTCAGAGGGGAACAGGAGGGACACGTGTGGAGGGGTGAAGGGGATCTACACGGTAACGGGTACAGACTCGGATCTTAAACACCCTCATCAGCAGGCTTTACCTCCACCGGCATCATCCACTCTCCCACTGGGGAGTTTCCTTCCATTATTCCTCTTCCACGAGAGGAAAAATCCCTTTAAAAGGCCTCGACTGTTCAGACGTAGTACAGGAAGGAGTATTTATCTAATTACTTGCAGAAAGAATGAAAGCAGCAGATAGTTAATGGTGTCGTCAGGACGACGGGGTTGGTTAACAGATGTGTGTTAGCTTCAGCTTCAGAAGCAGCTGCTCTCATTTCCTGTGATAAAACCAGCAATAATCTCCTAACTGTTGCTGCCCCCTAGTGGAGGAGCCTCGTCTCAGCCCCACGTTAGCTGGTCACTCAGAAAAACCGTAACTGGACGTTTATGATGGGGACGGAGGTTTAAAGGTCAGTTATTATTAGTAAAGTCCTCAAATACTTCATGCTGTCAGAATCAAGAAATCTGCTGTTGTTTGATGTTATTTTCACTCAAACGTCATCAGTGATCCACGTTTCACTTCATTCGTTGTAAAACACTAAAAATGAGCAGTTTGGAGCATGAAAGCTTCTCAGCTTGTTCTGTTCGGCCATTAGAGCGCTCCTTTTGTTGGCAGACGAGGAGGACCGCTCAACACCAGACCAGGTGACTCAGATTTGTGTGGAGTTTGTTTTATATGTAATATTTAGTCACTTTGCTGCTCTGGAGCATACAGCTGTGTGTGAACACAAAGAGGAACAATCAGGGTAGTGCTGTCAAAGATATTCTCCTGTTTTGGTAAATCTGGTGTCGGATGAAGCGTTTAGCTCCTGACGTCGGCTGCGCCGCGGAGGAAACGACCAAACCGAACGCAGAGCTGCGTTTCAGGCTTCGGGGCCGATTCCCGACGAGGAGCCGTGGTAAAACAAAGATTCTGTCCTCCCGTGTCCAGGTTAAGATCGAGCTGCCAGTCCACGTGCACGAGAAGCACCACATTCTCTTCTCCTTCTACCACATTAGCTGCGAGTCCAGCAGCAAGGCCAGCAGCAAGAAGAAGGAGGGAGTGGAATGTCTGGGTGAGTCCGGTCCTCAAATGATGGATTAATGAGATAGATGTTAATGGTTAGGGATGTGTACTGGTGAAATTCTGGTGATACAATATGTATTACGATACAGGGGAGACGATACAATATATCACGGTATATTGCGATACATTCAGTCAGACGATATTGGTGATTTTTTTAGACTAAATTTATTATAGGAAAATTCAATAAACAGTCCAAACTGATACTTAACATGTTTAACCATAACAGAGGGATTTACATTTCAGTGGTAGAAACAAAATCCATTACACACTGCTCAGGATATCCACGGGTCCTTAAAACGTCTTAAATTAGCTTTTCTACATTTAAGGCCCTAAAAATCTTTAAAAATTACAAATAATTCTTAAATACAGTTTCCAAAGGTCTTAAATTCCCTTAGACCCAATAAACAAGATTCTTTTATTTCTATAGAATTTTCGTGAATTTCTAGTTAGTGTTCAGCATTTTTTGTGTACGATGTTGGCGTAAGCGGAACCGTACACCTTCAGTTGGTTGTGAAAGGGGGCTATTTTTAGATGAGCACGTTAGCTGGTTAAGCTAGTGGGAGCTTGCGCCATGGGGAAGTGCAAGTTTAATGGTAACTGGATGGCTAATCCCACGTTTGCGACGTGGTTAGCACCGTTTCCAGGCTATAGCTGGAAATTATAGCTTAAATTTCACTTAAAAATAGCTTAAATTTGGTCAAAGTGGCCTCAAAAAGGTCTTAAATTTGGCTCCCTTAAACCTGCAGATACCCTGCTGCTGCCAACTGGTGGTCGGCGTTTGAATTGCACCACAAGAAAAGAAAAACAAATGTTTCTATGTAAATTCTTCCAAAAATTAGATACACAGCTTTTGAATATCGATATAATATTGCTGAGGAAAATATCACGATATATTGCCATAATTGACATTTTCTTACATTCTTATTAATGACGGGTTTCACCCAAACACTATGTATTTATCTGTTTGTGTCCCAGTGGGCTACTCATGGATGCCTTTGCTCAAGGATGGAAGGATGCAGTCATCAGAGCTGCAGCTACCTGTCGCTGCTGTGTTACCTACCGGGTATCTTTGTCAGGAGAGCCGGAAGGTGCGTCCATGCTCTCTCTAACCAACACTTCATGTGTCGAATGTAGAAGCTGCGTAAAAACAAAGTCCCCAGCAATGATCTAATAATTCTAACCTGTGTTTTGTTTGACCAGTCTCAACCAGACCTTAAGTGGGTAGAAAACGCCAAGCCGCTGTTCAGAGTGAGGAGCCACGTAGCATCAACAATCTATCCTCAGGTGATTGGTCTGAACGGAGAAACTGCAGCAGCAGTAAAATACGGAGCGTTGGGATGATTTTCCAGATTTGTTTTCTCCTCAGGACCTCCATCTGCATAAGTTCTTCCAGCACTGCCAGCTGATGGAGACGGCATCAGAGGGAAACACGGCAGAACTCATCAAATACCTTAAAGTGAGACATATCAGGCCTAGTCCACACGTAGCCGGGTTTTTTAAAAACGAATATCCGCCTCTCCAAAAACTTGCATCCACACCACCGCGTTTTAAAAAAAAACTGTCCACACGTACCCGGATAAATACGTTGTTAAGGACATGCCAGACCTGTAGGCGGCAGTACTTCCCCCGTTCTTAACCTCGTCCTTCGTCTGTGGTCTTCCACAAGGAGCAGTAATTCCTCTTGCAAAAACAAACAAGCAGAAAGCGCTTGGACCATTGATAAAGCGAGCGCAGCTCTGAGGGCATCCATGCTGTCTTCTAGTGTAAACACAGGTCGCACACGTGATGTCAGCATTTTTTGTCGCGGAAAGTGACGTTGCGGACCTTAAAACTCCGGTTTTGTCTGTCCACACGCAGACACCCAAAACGGAGAAAACGCAGATCTTCACTTTGGCGGGAGTTTTTAAAAAGATCCGTTTTCGTGTGAAAAAACTCCGTTTTCGTGTGGATGACAGGCCAAAACGTAGAAAAATATCTACGTTTTGGCAGATCTCCGGCTACGTGTGGACAGGGCCTCAGACTTGACCTTAAGGGTGCTTCAGCACCTCCCAAAAACGAGCTGAAACACCTGTGTGTGTGTAAACATCTCCCTCTTGTGAGGGCCTCATGAATCAGGCCGAAGCTGAATCCACAAAGACCAGTGTAGTGAATCCGGGCCTGAGAGAGAGTCCAAGCCCTCCTACATGTCACTGATGGAGTTGGCTGGGAACAGACCAGTCTGCTCCCCTGGTAGGGCTTCTGACCCTCAACCTGGACCAGGATAAGCAGAACTCACATTAACTGTTGATCCCTCGGGAAGGTTCCTCTGGGAATCTCTATCTTCCAGCAGTAGCAGCACTGAACCGTCTAGGAAGACATCAACGTTGATGCAGATAAAAATGATAGCGACAACCTACGGACCACTGGGAACGGGAAAAAAATGCAACACAAGCTCACCTGCAACCAAACCATCACACAGCTATTACAATATTGTTATATATAGTTATGATATAGCAGACTAACGGGCAGAAATTCTTGTTTAAATGTTATGAATTTAGTATAACTGGCAATTTTACTGCTACATGGCTGGAGGTCTGGCCAGGAGCCCCATCCACAGGTCTGGAATGTCCCTCAGATCTGCTCGTAGTCTCCAGCTGGAGGTCATATCTGGTAACCATAGCGTAGTTGTCCGCTCATTGTTTAAGAGGTCTGTGTTCTTACTTTACGTGTAGTTTAGAGATTTTGACGCATGACTTCCTGTAATCATTCATCTTCTAGTGCCTGCACGCCATGGAGACTCATGTCATCATCACTTTCCTACCGACGGTGCTGATGCAGCTGTTTGAGGTGCTCACGGCTGCCACCAAAGATGCTCATGAGATTGCCGTTAACTCCCTACGGTCAGTTGTTTCCTTGTTTGGACGAGGTTTCTGGTATTGGTGAGGAAATGCAGATGCGTACGTTTATACTGTAATAATAAAAGGCTAGCGTGATGGTCTGGGGTCTCGTTTATCAAACATGGCGTAGAATCCTTCCTAAAACCGTAATTAAGCTCATCAAAAAAAATGTACTTGTGCCAAGTAAGTTTGTGATCTATCAAACATGGAGCTTCACGCAATCTCCGCTTTATAGATCAGAAACTACCTAGGAATGTTCTCGGGTGTTTCTGGATCCCATCCCGCCCTCACCGCGCCCACTTTCTGCCATAAATGGTCGATGCGAAGTGCCTTGTGGATGTCGTACACAGAAGCCGGCTCGTTGCAGCGCTCCGCCATTAACGACGGCCGCCGTAGATCAAGGAAGCGCAATTTCGTAGAAGCAGAAGTTGAGGTACCTGTGGGTGAGGTGGAGAAATGAAAGGAGAAAATCCACGGAGTGGCACAGCGTTGCTGAAGCCGTCGATGCTGTGAGTTCTGCAGGAAGATCTGTGGCGTGGTCCGATCGGGCTTCGATCCCCAGACTCCCGGGTGAGTCGCGCGCGCTAACCAGTCAGTCAAACGGACATCGCCCCTGTCCAAGTAGCCAGGGCGCATGATCAGTCAGGTCACAGTGACAGGACACACACACTGTCACACAGACACATGATGTTCTGTCTCAATCTGTCCCCCTGCTGATATTCTGCATTCCGTAGTCTGCGCTTCAGGCTGTGTGTGTGTGTGTGTGTGTGTGTGTGTGTGTGTGTGTGTGTGTGTGGGGGGGCATGTTCTGTGTGAAAACGAAGCGGTACAAGTGATAATGCTGCAGGATTTCATAATTGTATCTTCTCAGCAGCAGCACTGCAGGTGCTCTCCATGTCCAACATGTGTGTAAGCCGGGTCCTTAGTCAACTTAAAGTTGTGAACATTTTTCCACTAAGTTTTCTTTCATAAATCCCAAAGTTTGCGTGGAAAGTTGCTTACGCAGTTTTCCAACCCCGTTTTGTGCGTAAGCCAGCTTCCAATCCAATCCAATTTTATTTATAAAGCGCATTCACAAGGCATTACAACCAAACAAGGCGCTGTACACTAAAAATGTTGGTTAATTAAACCGGCGTTATACAAACATGTCGAACACAGATAAAAGATAAAAAGGAAATACAACAAAATTCCCAAAAATAACAGCTAAAAATCAATAAGACACAGGGAGAATAAAAATTAGAAAAACATTTTAAAAAAGAACCTCAATAGTACGGAAGTCGATAGTTGTGGAGTCCATTTTTAAACAGTGCAGATGTCAGTGAGGTCTATAATTATGTGGTATAAGCTAGGTTGAAGTAGTGAGTTTTCAGGCGTGATTTAAAAATGCTAGCTGTTGGTGCTAGCCTCACTAGCAGTGGTAATGCGTTCCACAGCTTGGGTGCACAGACAGAGAAAGCCCTTTCTCCACGGCTTTTTAAACGAGCATTCAGAACAGCTAGGAGGAGCTTATCTTCAGACCTGAGAGCACGCGGCGGGTTGTAGTAATGGACCAGTTCACACAGATATGGAGGAGCTTGATGGTTCAAGGATTTGTAAGTGAGAAGCATCATTTTGAAGTTTATCCTGAACTGCACGGGCAACCAGTGGAGAGATGTCTTCTGTCAGCTTGATGAATGAGACCCCTGGTGCTTCAGGACCTGGACCACGTGTACCTGATGGAACCATGAAGTTAGCTTTCTAGCAGACTTCCTGAAGGACAACATCTGACTTTTGACCTTAAACAGGTTCATGATCAAAAACTTACCATTGTGGCGGTCTTTAGCATGAACCTTTTCCACTTATTCTGACGACCGTTAATGATCCACAGAGTTAAATGTCGTCTGAAAAACGTAAAGAAGCATTTCTGTGAATGTTTTCTACCCCTGTGTTTCAGTGTGATCATACATATAGTGTCCAAGTGTCACGAGGAAGGACTAGACCACTACCTACGCTCCTTTGTAAAGGTAACCTACCAACACAATTTAAATGAACTCATTTAAGTTCCTTTGAGAAAAGCTTTCAAACAAGTTTAAGTTTTCTTAAAGATCAGCGTCACAAAAGAACAACATTTTATTATTTCCGTTTAGAATCGGTCACTCTGAATTCGTCATGCAGGCTCAACATGCCTCCTGCTTTAACACCTGATAAAAAGCAGGCAGATTTAAAACGCCTAACAAATCTACGTCACACTGGAATTAACGCGGACTCACCTCCTGACTCACGACGGGGGAGACTGTTGTTGGTTTAATGTCCAGGAAATGGCAGAGGACGTCTCGGCTAGCAGAAGCTAACTGTTAGCAATAGCAACTCCACCACACAGCAGAACTCCTTCAGGCTTGTGTTATTTGTGGAGATAAAACATCAGCGTCAGTGGTGGAGGCATGTTTCTGTTAGCCAATCAGAGGCGAGATGTAAAAATATCAGGAAATAAAATTCCAAATCCTGTTTTATTTTTTTCTGCTCAACTCTGATCCGGCTCGCTTCACTTAAGACAATTATTCCTGCTAGAGACCACAGCTAATGTGTTAAAATATAAGTGAAGTTGATCTTTACAATCACAAATCTCATAAATGTTTTTTATTTTTATTTTTTTCAGTACGTCTTTCTGACCAGTACCCCGTCTTCTGCTTCAGCGACCACCCACGAGGTGCTGGCCACCGCTATAACAGCGATTCTCAAGCAAACAGCAGATTTCAATACCAGCAACAAGCTGTTTAAGGTGCGTTCCATCAGCTGGACAGCAGGGGGCAGACTTCTCTTTAGCAGCAGGAAGTGTGTGTGTGTGTGTGTGTGTGTGTGTGTGTGTGTGTGTGTGTGTGTGTGTGTGTGTGTGTGTGTGCTCGCATGCAGTGTTTCCCCCAGGAATCTTTCCAGCTGTGGTGGTGGTGGGGGAATTCTGACGCGTCTCACCTTTATGTTATTATTGGTTTATTAGACACACTCCACTTTGAACAGCACCAATCCAGCAACTGCTGCATTTTAATAACTGGTATTAACGGTGAATACACCAATATTTGCACAAGAATAATTTCTGTTTTAAACTCTGAGTGACACACTTTGCAGGGAGGTTTGGCATTTAATATTTCTTGTCATCTGGACAAACATCTCCTTCTGCCCCCCCCCCCCCCTTTATATTAAACCAAGACCATTTCTGGGCTGGCCCTGTTAAACACCTTCTACACCCCTGCTTAGTAGACTTAATTAAGTATTTTTAAGCCAGTATAAAAATGACTGAAACACAAATGTACATATTTGGCATTATTGACCAATATCTTTGATTTAATTTATGTGTTAAGAACATCAAGATGCGTTACCGTTACCCAATGAGGATTTTCCTTCAGCACGATTACAGATAGTTACAAGTTTTACACTCGTTTCATGCTCAAATTAGTCAAAAATGCTTTATCCGCGGCTCATCCCTAGCTGTAACCACCCTGCCCTGCCTCCTCCTCCTCCTTGCTGCCTGCCGGCTGTCGTCACGGGCAACAACACAGCAGTTCCCGCTGCTTCTTCGGGAAACGGCACAAAAACAAAAAAAAAAGTCAATAAAACTTGGGATCTTGTAGGCGTGGTGGTGGCATTTCAGCCGTGGCGGCCCGCCACGGCTACGCCTATGTAAGGGAAACACTGGTGTGTGTGTGTGTGTGTGTGTGTGTGTGTGTGTGTCCACAGTAAGAGAAAATCCTTCAGCATGTAGCTGCCTGCTCTGCATGATTGCCCCATGACGTTTTCCTCATCATCAGCACCGACTGCGGTGAATCCAGGGGGTGTTTTCTCAGGAATTCTGTGTAGATGAGCTGTAACTCTTGATGTTTCTGTCTCCAGTATTCCTGGTTCTTCTTTGAAACCATGGCAAAGTCTATGGCCCAGTTCCTGCAAGCGGAAAACCGCATGAAGGTTGGTGTTTGGTTCAGACAGCCGTGCCCTTTTCTGGTGTGGAACTCTCACGCTGCGATGCTACAGAAACGAGCCTCAGACTGAAGGCTTTAGGATGGGTGATGAATCTGTGGACATCTTGCTGTGATGCCAGGGGTCTGGATCTTATCTGGATGATAACAAACGGCACCGCAGCGTAGCTGAAGATGGCCGACAGCAAAAGCTTTAGCATCAACTTTATCTTCCTGTTTGAATGTTGAAATCATTGAAGTGAAATATCCACACACAGTTTGTGCTTCACCACGTAAACAGTTGCTTTTTCTCTTGTCAGCAAACACCTCATAAACCACTGAACAGTGTAGTGACACTCTATGAATGTAATCCTGAAATGTGCATCCAGTGCATGGTGGCCACCACAGCTAACTGATATTTCCAACACAAAAATGGCAGAAATTCACTCATTTTTCTGGAATTTGAGTTCAGTTTTGATGTTTTAGCAGCTAAGAGTCACTCACATTGCACTCTGATCGCTAACGGACTGAGCCAGGTTTTTCCTTGTTGACTGAGATACATGGCAATGTTGGATAAAGAAAATCTACACACACACACACACACACACACCTTTATAGATGTGTCATGCTCAAACAAACTGACTGTGCGTGCGACGAGAGCTGGCTCTCGTCCAGCTGTCCTAGATCTGGTTCCTCCAGATGAACTCTGGATATGAGAAGCAACAGCTTGTTAATGTCAACTCCTCTTTTTCATTCAACTGTGCCGCTCTTTCAAGGACGCAGAGTTGAACAAGTTAGCTGATCTACTTGATTGCATTGAGCGTATTAAGGACAGGCTAGCCATCAGCTGTCTTCAGCTGAACTCAAGCAACACTGATCATCGCTCCTGAACAGAAAGTGCTTTTAATCCAACAACACCTCGGTTCCCTGAGCTCCCCGGTCCAGACCAGTCTCAGAAACTTGGTGTTCTGTTTGACCAGTCCATGTCTCTGAGCTGCCACTCAAAACATTTAGTAAAAAACTGCTTTTATCATTTGAGAAACATTTCCAAATTGAGAGCTTTTACTTCAAAATGGGACTTGGAGATGATTATCTATGCTTTTATTTCCTCTCGTTTAGATTACTGTAATTCTGTCTTTACTTGTTTTAACAAATCAGATGTCAGTCGTCTCCAGCTGGTCCAGAACGCTGCAGCAAGGCTTTTAACAGGAACCAACAGAAGGACTCACATAACACCGGTTTTACCTTCTTTACGTCGGCTACCGGTCGAGTTTAGGATTGATTTTAAAATTTCAGTTTTGACTTTTAGAGCTTTTAATGGACAAGCTCCAATATTTATCAGACCTTTTAATGCCTCACTCTTCTGGCCGCACGCTACGGTCCTCGGGTCAGAACCGACTGAAGGTCCCTAAGACCAGATTTAAAACTAGAGGGGACCTGTCCTTTCAAGCTGTAGCTCCCAGACTTAGGAACGCCGTGCCCTTGTTCCTTCGTGTGGCCGACTCGGTTGATTCTGTTGAAAAGCAGCTGAAGACACTTTTATTTAGACGAGCTGTTATGTAAGTTGACCTTGTGCACCTGTCCTGTTTTGCCTTTTTATGTATGTCGTGAAGCACTTTGTGATTTTATCTGTGAAAAGTGCTTTATAAATAAAGTTTTACTTTACTTTACTTTACTTACTTTGGAGTAAACATGCTACCGATTTGTCTTACAGAGGTGACTGAAGTTGTTTTATAGGATTAAACAAAAGTGATTAAAATTCATAATTTTCCAAACAAAATGATCATAATTTAAAACTCCAGCATCAAAGTCATCAATTGGACCTGATATAGATATTTTTGTGATTTAACGAATACAAAGTCGGCACCGGTGATAAACGGTTACAGTTTCGGTAAGCTCGGTGGTTTCATGTTCGCTAATCTGCTGAGACTCAAACTTCTGTTACGGGGCCATTTATAATTAGCCTTTGCTGTTTGCAGGGTGCTTGAAATCCTTAAAAATGGTCAAATGCTAACATGCTGTTTCTAAGGTTTTGAAGGTCTAATTTAACCCTCCCACTGTCTTCATGTGTGACCCCGTGAGGAAAGTTGACCTTTGAGCAGGATTGATGGTTTATCCCGTGAGGTCCATGTGGCAGGGGTGAGGTGGTGCTCACTCCTCACCCCTGCCACATGGACCTCACGGGATAAACCATCAACCCTGCTCAAAGGTCAACTTTCCTGGCGGGGGTCTCCCATGAATGGTGAATGGCCTGTATTTGATTTAGCGCCTTCTAGAGTCCTGGAACCCCCCAAGGTGCTTTACAACACAATCAGTCATTCACCCATTCACACACACATTCACACACTGGTGGGGATGAGCTACAATGTAGCCACAGCTGCCCTGGGGCGCACTGACAGAGGCGAGGCTGCCGAGCACTGGCGGCACCGGTCCCTCCGCCCACCACCAGCAGGCAACGTGGGTTAAGTGTCTTGCCCAAGGACACAACGACAGCGACAGACTGAGCAGGGCTCGAACCTGCAACCTTCCGATTACAGGGCGAGCTCTTAACTCCTGTGCCACCGTCGCCCCCAGTGACTACCCGGTTCTTTCGGGTAATAACCGAAAGAACGAGATTGCGGATACAAGCGGCCGAAATGAGTTTTCTCCGAAGAGTGGCTGGGCTCTCTCTTAGAGATAGGGTGATAATCTCGGTCATTCGGGAGGGGCTCGGAGTAGACCCGCTGCTCCTCCACATCGAGAGGAGCTAGTTGAGGTGACTCGGGCATCTGGTCAGGATGCCTCCTGGACGCCTCCCTGGTGAGGTTTTCCGGGCACGTCCATCCGGGAGGAGACCTAAAGGTAGACCCAGGACACGGTGGAGGGACTATGTCTCTCACCTGGCCAGGGAACGCCTTGGGATTTCCCTGGAGGAGCTGGCCCAAGTGGCTGGGGAGAGGGAACTCTGGGCCTCTCGTCTTAGGCTACTGCCCCCGCCACCCAACTCCGGATAAGCGGATGAAAGTGGATGGATCATGTGTAAATAACCCCTGTTGTGAATTGTGAAATCATGAGGAGTCCATTTGAAAGTGCTTGAATGTGATTTTGATGTTTAGGATTACAAGAAGTCTTGTCATCATATAAAAAAATTGGGTTTAAGCTGCTAGAAGGTCAGAAATTAGGGGAAAAGTCTCAGCTGAGGCTCATTAAAACTTTTTCCTGAGTAAGGACATCAGATCAATGTAAATAACGAATCATTGATCATTTCTGCAGATGCCGCGGCCTCAGCGTTTCCCGGACAGCTTCCACCAGGCGCTGCAGTCCCTGGTTCTGTCCATCATGCCTCACATCACCATCCGACACGGAGAAATCCCGGAGGAAGCTCGGAGCGTCAACCTGGCCCTGGCAGGTTTCATCAAGGTCTGAGTACCTCTGATGGAAACCTCTGGTGTTATAGATCCCTGCAGCATCTAAACCATTCTCTCTCTCTGTCTCCCCCTCACCTCAGAGGTGTCTGACGTTCATGAACAGAGGTTTTGCGTTCGGACTGATCAACCACTACATGAGCCACTTCAGTCTCAAAGACCCCAAGGTAACCCTGTTAAAGTATAGGGCACACACACACACACACACACCCATGCACACACCCATGCACACACACACACACATGCACGCACACACACACCCATGCACACACCCATGCACGCACGCACACACACACACACACACACACACACTAGGGTTGTCACGGTGTGAAAATGTAACCTCACGGTTATTGTGACCAAAATTATCTGAGATTTGAAGCGTTGCTGCCTTTCACAGACACTTTTTCTGCACGTGCTGCAAACAGGATAGCCGTCTTCTATCAGCTGTCCCTCGGCATTCTTCACATATCCAAAAGATGCCCGTACTTCCCACTTTGTCTTCTTTGAGGGATAATAAATGTCCTGAGCGCTGCCGTCTCCTCCTTTGGCCATTATTTCAGCTTTATCTTCAAGAAAGTTTTGGTTGTAAACAACAAAGTGCGCATGTGCCGCCGGCAACTTCAGCAGATGATACGGTGGCTGGTAAGGGTCACCGCGCCTACACCGCAGCCACGGTAATCCACCGAGATAATATAGTTTTTAAAAAACAAGACGGTTATTATTATTGTCAACTTTTTTACTGGGGTTTACCACTACACCGGTTACCGTGACAACACACACACACACACACACACACACACAAACTGTGACACACTAAGCATAAATGGATCCAAACTCCTTTTTCTTCGACCAAAATCCCAACCAGACCAACGCGGTCTCGGGATGCGCTGAGAAGCTCCTTTCTGATTTGTTTCTCTCACAGCCTTCCTCTGTGGACTCCACATTCAACTAACAAATGAAAACAGCCACAGGTGGACGGAGACCGCTGCTTCACTCTCATTCGTTTTGGCTGTTTGGTGGCAGAAATGTGAATCTTTGCGTGCAAACCCCATGTGTCGGCCATGTGTTCTCACTGCAGGTGTTGACAGAAATAAAGTTTGAGTTCCTGATGACGGTGTGTAACCACGAGCACTTCATCCCTCTGAACCTGCCCATGGCGTTTGGGCGCACCAAGCTGCAGCGAGTGCAAGGTGAGTGACTAAATACTTTTGACCACAAACATGCAAGCTGAGTGGGTCACGTTTCCTTCCAATCGGCACCCTCTACACTGATCCTGGTCCTCTTTAGCCCACATCTCTTTATTTTCACCTCCCCTCTTTTGTGTGTGTGTGTGTCTTATGGTTAGATATAATTCCGTACGCGACGGAGATTTTTGGCCCTGTAGGTATGTGACGCCCACGTCTTTCTAACATTTGCAACCGTTTGCAAACTCTTCGCTCATGACCTCTTTTTTTCGACTGACATCAACCCTTCCAGCCGCCGTCAGCCCCCCCCCCCCCCCCCCCCCCCCCACTCGCCCTGTACTCAGTGGTTTATCCGTGCCTCTCTCACTCCTGCTTCCTGCGCCTGCCGTTGGGCCGTAGTGCTGTAGAGAAGAGTGCTGCTGTTCTGGGAATCGGCTCCTGTTTTCTTGCTGCCTAATTGATTTGTAAAGAGAAGAAAGCCGTCTTTCAAGGAGCTGCGGTTGTCTCTGCTTCTGTCTGATTCTTATAGCTAAGTTCTAAATCTGTAGCATCATGTTAATGTTGAAAGGAAGTAATGTGCAGCTTTTGTCCAATTAGATAACTACTCTAGCGGACGCTGTTCCTGATTTTGATCAGTTCATTTCAGCTTCCCATCAGCCTGTTAGAGACACGAGAGAACTAAATGTGTTACTTGGACCAGTCTACTGTACCAATCTGGTAAAAAAAAACGGTAGAGGATAGCTTAAAGGTCAAAGGCCATAAGTATCAGGAGAAACAAACATCCTGCTTACTATCTGGACCTTAATAAAGGTTGGTAAAAGAAAACTTGACGCGTCTGCGAGGTTCGCACGGCTCAGCGCGGCAAAATTGCGTCATTTTAACAACCACGCCCCTCCACCGCGCCTCCGCACGGCCTAAACTTTCCGCACCACGCACCTAGGAAATTTTCTAACCACGCGGACGGTCGGACGCAGAAAAACATGGCGGACCGGCAAGAACTAGTATGGCAGAGGTTCGTAAATACAGACATTTGTAAGATTCAGCTCTCAGAGATCACCGTGATCAACATGTTGTTAATAATTCTTGGAGAGAAATAGCTCGCACTGTCGGAAAAGACGAGGACGCTGTTAAAAATGCTGGAATGCCATGTTGTAAACAGTAATTTCTACTTCTACTATGGTGTAGTGTTGGATGCATGCCGTAGAGCTCCATGCTGCCCCCTACAGTTTGGGAGAATATTGGCTCACCGCAGAGACGAGCCGCACGAACCATAAACGCTGCGAGTTGTGAAGCGCGTTCCATCCGCGAGCCGCATCACCAAGCGGAAAGTGAATGCGTCAAGCATAAACCAAGCTTAAGGCTGCTCAGTCTTCTACCTGAAGGAAGGAGGGTGAGTAGTTGCTGGGCTGGGTGGGTGGGGCCCATCCTTATGCCATTGCACTTCAGCGGCACCTGCAGGCCAACTTCTTCCACTTACAATTCTTCGGGGCTTACTTTTACAGCCACAAGCAATAACTGAAAATAAAAACTCAATTACTGGTTACTGAAGTTGTGGGTTTGGACCAAGCCCCCACAATGCGGCTTTAAAATTGAGGCCAACCCGGAAGTAAGAAAAACTGCAGTTCCACCCTCATCCACTAGGGGCTGGTATCAGAAGCGAGCAAATCCTCATTGACTCCCATGTTAAAAATACCAATTTCACAGCAGAAATAAACATGTTTACAGCCTGGTACCAAAACATGTTTTTGGTTTAAATGATCTAGTTTACACTCATGACAACTCTGAGGGGGGTGAATTTTTTTCTCACTCTTCTGTTTAAGTTTATTAAAAGCCTAAAATTCTGTATAATTAATGAGCATCAGACCCACGTGACCACAGAGCTAGCTCCGTGGAAAGGCCTCAGTAGAGCCTCGGTCTGGCCTGGAAACTGCTCCAGGATTTTGAGTCTCTGTGTGTGTGTATTCTTTTTGGATATTTTTGTGCAATTGTTGGACAAAATGACTTGCTGTGGCATTATTTGCACTAATAGAGCGTCCAAGGAGTCTCCACTTCATTTTTTTCGGTAAGTAAAATTATATTTATGTATTTTAGGTCACTGCTGAGCTGAGCTTAGATTTTAACATGTACTGTTTAACCATGACATTTAAATGTAATAGGGTAAAACCCAGTGCATTTAACATAATGCTGCACTTTAGAAAATGGGTTGAAATATAACATGTTGGTGGAGCTGGGTTCCGACTATCGCCTTGTGGAGCTCTCAGGAGACCGATGTTTTCCACCCGGAATGACGGCTGTTTCTCCCCGCAGCTCGGTCCATCTCTGTCTGATCGCGGCTTCTGTCTGCTGCGCGGGCTGACGGCTTGTGGAGCTCTGGGATGGAAACCTTTCCACCCGGTTCTCCCCAGCGGCAACTCTGCGCATCTCAGATCGCAGCGGCGCTTGTCTGCTGTGCGGCTGCCGGCTTGTGGAGGTCTCGGAGACCTCTGTGTTCCACCCGGTTTTACCCAGCGGTCAGCCCGGCGTAACTCTGACTCAGAAGCTCTGGTGTTGTGCACAGTTAACTCCGGTTGTAGCTAGGTTGCTACCTCCGTTCGCTTAGCTTCCACCTCCGCGTTAGCTTTGGGTTTGCTTCAGGTTAGCTTGTAGCTAGTTCGTATGTATTGATTTAGAAATTACTAAAATACTTTGCATTAAGTATACAATTCACAAGACTAGTAAACTGATATTGACCATACACTAATCTGTAAAGAATATGCTGTAAACACAAAAGCAGAAAAGTTTGGCTTTAGAAAAAAAGTTCAGACAAAAGAAACGCCCAGCAACAACTTTTATTGGCCTTACAAAAACCTTCGAAAAATAAAAAATAAAAATGTCCACACAATGAGATGAGTCCAGAGCTTTTCTGAATTTCTCCGAGTATATGAGCAGTTCCATGGCATAGGACATCAGCTGCCTCTCACTAATGAGACAAAGATAAATAGCAATTAGTAAAAATGACATTCACACGTAGAGGCGGTCATAAACAATGTGAAAACAATACATATAGGCATTAGCACTGTTCTTGTGTTTGTAGAATACCTCCGGGCTGCCACAATGCCGTCGTGAGTTTGCTGCTTATTAGATGAGGAGTCATAAACGGTCAAATAAACAGCCTATTGTTAGGTTTATTTTGGCCAAAAGGCTTGCATGTAGCCCATTAAAAATTATATAAAAAATTTGTGTCCATGATGTCTTCCCCCACTGCCAATAATATTTAATTTTATATAAAAGTGTTTCAGAAAAAAATTACGAATGCGCTATCTATCAAACTATGTCTTAAACGTTCAAATTTCTAGTACAAAATCTTCGCAAGTTGTAAAAACATAAATCTGTCTTTACCAGAACCGTCATTTCCATCTGTTGCAACACGCATGCGAGTTCTCGTCTTCGTACATGCACGCATGTTTTGTACATAGGGGCGTGTTTGGCCGGGGCTACTTCTGCAGCTAGACCTTACTCAAAAATGTCGAACTCGACCCGTTTCAGAGGCGTAGCGCGTAGAAAATAGAACCGGCCCGTAAGGGCCGCGACATGCTGCTCCTGAGACGCGCTGCTGACGGCTCCGGTGGAAAGGAGGGGTTAGTCAGACGCCTAATGGGTGTCAGGTCACTGGGAACGGTAGTGTGTTTTGGTGCCAGGATGAGGATCCTGATGAGGATCCATCTTGTCCTCAGCATCTCAGAGGAACGTAGCAGAGGGCAATATTCTCAGTTCTAGCCCCTCACAAATTTGATGCCTTAGTTCATCATGTTAATTCCTCTTTACGTGTGGCATTAGATGATGTTGCCCCTTTAAAAAAGAAGGTAATTAGGGACAGGAAGTTGGCTCCTTGGTTTAATTCTCATTTACGAGCCTTAAAACAAAACTCTAGGAAATTGGAGAGAACATGGCGCTCTACGCACCATGAGGAGGCCTACCTATCCTGGAAAAATAGTTTTGTGCTTTATAAAAATAAGCTTCAACAAACTAGAACTGCTTATTTTTCAGCATTAATTGAGGAGAATAAGCATAATCCTAAATTTATTTTCAGTACAGTTGCTAAACTTACACAGAATCATAGCTCTGAGCCATCTATTCCCTTAGCCCTCAGCAGCAATGACTTCATGGGATTTTTTACAAGTAAAATTAATTCTATTAGAAACAAAATCTTTAGCATCCTCCCTAATGCGATTTCTTCTTCCTCAGTAAGTGAGGCAGCTTCAGAGATGGCATTAGAACCTCATCTGTGCTTGAACCGGTTTGATCCAGTTGAGCTTTCAGAGTTATCAAAAATATTAGCTTCATCTAAACCTTCAACTTGCATTTTGGATCCAATCCCAACCAATTTATTTAAAGATGCATTTCCTTTGGTTACTGCCCCCATTCTAGATATAATCAATCTATCCTTAGTAAATGGGTATGTACCACAAGATTTTAAGGTTGCTTTAATCAAACCTTCACTTAAGAAGCCTTCTCTGGATCAGGATGACCCAATGAATTATAGACCAATATCTAACCTTCCATTTTTATCCAAAGTCCTGGAGAAAATAGTGGCCATCCAAGTATGTGAGCATTTAAACACCAATGCTCTGTTTGAGGAATTTCAGTCTGGTTTTAGAGAGTATCACAGCACTGAAACTGCATTAGTGAAAGTTACAAATGATATTCTCATGACCTCAGATAAGAATCTTGTGTCTGTTCCAGTAAATAGAATATTTACTAAGACATCACAATATAACTACAGACACATTACTAGTCTTTGCGAGTGTGCGTGCGTGTGCGCGTGCGTGCGTGCGTGCGTGTGTGTGTGTGTGTGTGTGTGTGTGTGTGTGTGTGTGTGCTCTGTCTTCTCCATCCCCAGTGAGTCGTGGAGGATGGCTGCTTATACTGAGCCAGGATTCTCTGGAGGTTTATTCCTGTTAAAAGGGAATTTTCCTCTCCACTGTCGCTGCATGCTTGCTTAGTATGAGGATTGCTGTATAGTCACTGACACTAGTCAGTGACTTGATGCAATTTGCCGGGTTCCTTATATAGGAAACATTATTTCTGATTGGCTTAATGAACTGACCTGAATTGGAATGTTTATTATGTGAAGTGCCTTGAGACGACTCTTGTCGTGATTTGGCGCTTTATAAATAAACTTGAATTGAATTGAATTGAATTGGAAAGTCAGCTTTTGTATCAAAAAGTTTTGATACAAGTTTTTTTTAAATGCTATGAAGAGAAGAGGCTTTTTCTAAGTTTGTTGATCGGCCCGTCATGCCTTTTACTTCCACTCATTAGGATGATATTGTTGGTTTGTTTTTCAAAGAATGTTGAACCCTAAACCAATTTTAACCCTAAATCCTGACTCGGCAGTGACCATCGCCTGTCTAAGACCATTATGGATGCTTTCCAGTTTAACACAGGCCTGTATTTAATAACTGGCATTTAGTTAGCATCACCTGAAATGATGTTTTTGCTCTTAAGTTGGACACTGATGACTTTGCTTCAGTTGCACGTCAGAGTTTTCTTTTGCCAACTTAAAAATAAAGCTGGTCCAGACCACTTTTAATTTTTCACTGACACGTAAAATCTTAGAACCGAGACAGGATTTACATCCTTTTTAAGATAACTCATTATAACCAAATGAAAACCTGTGCAGGGGGGCGCCCGTTAACGCGTGGGGATGTACCGATACTTACAGAACAGAATCTGGAGTTCAGCCTGACGGAGGAGTACTGCCGTAACCACTTCCTGCTGGGCCTGCTGTTCAGAGAGGTGGCAGAGGCCTTGCAGCGGGGGTCTGAAGTCCGACAGCTGGCCGTGAGCGTTCTGAAGAACCTGCTCATTAAACACGCCATAGATGATCGCTACACAGCGTTCAAGGTGAGGAAGACCTGGAGAGCAACGTGTTAAATGTTACCTAGAGGTAATAATTATCATACTGCCATTCTCCTCTCATTCTTAGTGTGTTTTTAGAAATGGAACGCCTATTGTTTGCTTTTAAAAGGTTAATATTTAATATGGCACATGTGTAACTGTTGAATATATCTCAACGAGATACTAGTGTCTGTTATGCAAACCATCCAGGTGTTCAGCCTGCGGGCTCCACTGACAGCAGCTGCTGATACAGCTCAGGTAGATTTAACATCCTCTGTTTTCAGTGACTCCACGTTGGCTGGCCGGGGTTAAACTCCGCCAACGCTCTACAGTGTCCTTTACCATCTGTTTGCATGTAAATTCACTTTTTTTCCTCAGCTTTAAACATATTTTTGGTTGACTTGGAATTGAAGAAGCAAATCAGGGTTTTGGGCAGCTTCTAAAAACGCGAGACGAAACCGTAAAAGCCGCATATGGGAGTGAGCAAAGCACAAAGTGCACTAGCATCACTTCACACGTAGAAGCTGTTGGTGTTTTAGCTGGTTTGTTCAGCGTTTAATCAGGTTTGTTGGTTTTACTGAACCTCTGCTGTTCTGGTTTTACTGACTGTTTCAGAACCAGCAGGCCAGGATCTGCATGCTGTACCTGCCTCTTTACGAGCTGCTCTACCAGAACCTGAAGCAGCTGTCGGCCCAGCCACAGACCTTCAGTCCAGCGCTCGGCCTCAACGTCAGTCCTCAACTACACCAATCACTAGGATAACCATATTGATTCACATTTTTAAGGGTTTGGTCACAGATGACCTAAAATACATTTTCTGTGAAGAGTTCACCTCTTAAAGCTGATTCAGACATCAAAGGTGTTCCCAGACTGATGGGACTTATCGAAGGTCATTGCTGATGTCTTTCCTCTGATCACATGGAGTGATAAAGACAATGACAGCTTGATCAATAGGTTTGGATTCAAAGAGTGTGTAACGATTACATTTACATGTTATTTAATGAGCCATAAGACGTGAGATTCCATAGGAAATATGAAATCAATCTTATGGATCTTTGGATAATTTAAACCAGAAGATTGGAACTTTTTATTGCAGGGATTATGTAACACTTGGTATTAACTCAGAGACAAGAGAAAGAGAGTCAGGTTTTAAAAGTTTAAAGATTTATTACTAAACAAATTAAAACTAGACTAACTTTAACACTAAATGTATGGTGTAACTAAGGTGAATGAGACGGAAGATGGTGTAGTATGGAATGTTGTTCAGAACCAGCAAATCCGGAGAAACAATTAGTTCTGATGGGAGTGAAGATGTTGTCTTCGCTCTAAGCTTTAGGTTGGAGATTATAACACACATTGAGACGCCATTCTGCCGGTCTACGTACCCTTGGCGGAAGTCCCCGTTAGATCAGGAGGTGTGGAGGTCCAGCTTGGACCTTTCTGGAGCCGAAGCCTGTAGCACAGCCGCGGCTGCCGACCAGTCCAGTCTTGAGATACTTCCAGGTCATCACAGTTTTGTTGGCATCTAGCGAGACCCAAAAAGGGGTCGTGATGGTTCAGCTTTTATTCTGAAAGGAACCGTTGCAGCAGTTGGAACAACAACAGATTTTATCCAGCGTGTCGTTGGTTCTTTCGGCTGAAGAGGAAAGTTACGGATTGGCCACTCCGACAACTTCTCTAGAACGCTTTGAACTGGCGTTAGAGATGACGTGGGAATAGTTTTATACTTCGGATGTTTTGGTTTATGGTCGAATGAAAAGATGACAGATTTACCAAACACCACCAAAACCACGCCTCCATCAGATCTGGCAGATTCTGATTGGATCGGAAAAGGAAATGTGTCATGTGACTTAACCTTACATGTGATCAGTCTCTAGTGGAAACATTTAAAGTTATATTACTTATTATAACTTACTGATCATAAACATTGTCATTTCACAGATTGGTTCACATTTTATTATTGACTAACACTTTATTTGATTAGCTTTATTAAAAATAGAGTTCTTCTGATTTATTAAAAGAAAGAGTCCTTTGTCTTCATTCTTCTCTTGAGCTGGAAAGGAAAACAGTTTAGAAGCAGAGCATGAGACCTTGAGCCATATCTCATGCAGATTAGGTTTGTGTCAGAAACGTCAGGTTTGCTTTGAGCGGAGCGAAACAGAGCCGGGTCTTTTAGGTCAGAAATGGACAATTCATCACGCTACAGGTGTGATGTTTTGAGTCCATGCAGAAAAGACTCAGTGATCAGTCTTGCTTCTGTTGTTTTCTAGGGCTCCAGAGATGACCTGATATCGACCAGTACCACAGACAACAGAAGAACCAGCACCGCAATGGACAAAGATCATGGTGAGTGGAGAGTAACACACAGGGCTCTGAGGATGTGCCGGCTGACCTCTTCCTGTTTACACGAGATCCAGGTCCCTACAGCTCCGGACCACAGCACCACAGCAATATTTATGCAACATGCAGCTTAATCCATTAGCAGCACTCTATGAGAGGGCCAGCGGTGTGCCAGATATGGAGAGCATGAATGCTTATGTTTGCTGATTGGCTGTTAGATCAGACTGGCCTTCTCCAAAGATCTAAAGACTTTCTGATGTGGACATCTTTCACCACTGACACGCTGAGGATGAGATGGGAGTAATGCTAAAAGAAATGCAAGTGTCACATTAATAACACACACACACACACACACACACACACACACACACACACACACACACACACACACACACACACACACACACACACACACACACACACACACACACACACACACACACACACACACACACACACACACACACACACACACACACTGTGCCACTGTTCAGCATGTTTTTCTTCCTGCTCCAGCACACCTGATTCACTGGATACATCACCTGTTCAGCAGGTTGTCAAGCTCTGCAGAAGCCTGCTGATCATCTATTGATTAAAATCAGGTGTTCTGATCACAAGTTCTTCTGAACGGGATTATGATCTTGGAAGTTTCGTGGACCTTGACCCAACATCAGGGTTTACGCTAGCTGCCACACCGTCAGAAGGATACGTACCTTAAGAGTTCATTAAAACAATGTAAATACGAGACATATATAGTCTATATTTGCGCTTGTACACTAACCATATTGACAGTTTAAAAGGAATTTAAATATAACGAAACTTTAAAAATTATTTTACTTTGAAAAACCAGCACTGCCGGTTTTTCCCCGTGTGTGAAGGCTCCCTAAACGCGCATCACGCACGGTGCGCAGGGCACCGAGTGGCCAGGTTTATGAAAAGAAAAACACTTTATATTAATTATAGTACCAGCTGCTGGACAACATACACACTAACAACACTGAGCTAATCATCTAACTGGTGTTATTTCACACACGCAATCCCAGCCCGATGTGCTTCTCTCCGCCCTGGCTGTGGGGTGGGCGGAGCCATGACCTTCACCTGCGGCGGATGGGACGGGCAGGCCCGGTTCTCTCTCCCAGAACTGTGAGCTGCCAAAATTACATGCTTTTATTTTGAAACGCAGCCGCGTCGCCAGCCGATTTTGACGGAGCTTCAGTCCCGAATGAGTTTTGCCTTGTTTTCACTCATCAGCCGCAGATCCTCGCTGCTCTCGCTCACAGCCAGCCGGGCTTTCTACCGCTGTGACTCCCTCGCGCGTCCCTCTCCTGCATTCGTTGGTTAGGTGGTGAATTAAAACATTAGCGTGTTTTTTCTGTTTAGGAGACAAACCCTTCCTCCATAACCAGGTTATTGGGACGGAAGCCTGTAAAGGTCAAAATTCCTCAAACGTATTTTTTCCTACTGGCTGATAAAAATGTATAGAATAGAACAGAATAGATTATTAATCCCAGATTAGGGACATTCACTCATCACAGTAGCACACACACTTGGAGAATAATACAGTAAAACTGATTGCAGCCATGTTTGTTTTCATCACTTCAACAACTTCATGCTGATGGCCCAAATGAACATAGTCCTCTGTGTAGTGGATGCAACTACTGTACATCATGATGTTAGCTTAACGTGATAGATTACTTTTGGTAATACAATAACTGGTAATGTAATGAATGACCCTAGATGTAATCTAAATAGCTTTACATGAGTTGTAAGTAAAAGTTGCTGTGAGACATTAGTGATGTGTAGCTGTAACTCTTTACTGCTGATAGATGGATGATGTGAGTCCTTGTAACCCTGACCTGATGAAGTATTAATAAGTGAGCATGATGAGGGAAGCAGCGAGAGGGAAGGAAAAAGTAAACAGAGAATCTGGCTGGGACCCAAAATGGACTGACATCACCAAGCTCCGCCCATGGCTGTACCACAACAGTCAAGGTGGGAATCAAGCATTACAATTTATTTCAAGTGAAATCACTTTTTTTATATTTAATTTAATTTTAATTAAACAATAAGCTGTTTTACACACTCCTGCAGGATTTTTCACGAAAAAACATACAGTCTCATGTCTCAGAACGACCGTCTCCATACGTCTCTGCACCCCCCCACCCCCCATCCCGACCAACAGCCCACCATCACAGTTTCAAACGATCCTAGAGGAAACCCTGAACATTAGGGATGTAAGAAAATGTCGATTATGGCAATATATTTTCCCCAGCGATATTATATCGATATTCAAAAGCCGTGTATTGAAAATATCGATATCGCAATATATTGTGATGTTTTTTCTTGCAAAAATTTATCGATATTCAAAAGTTGTGTATGTAATTTTTGGAAGAATTTACATGGAAACATTTGTGTATTTTCTTTTCTTGTGGTGCAATTCAAACACCGACCACTAGTTGGCAGCAGTGTGTAATGGGTTTTGTTTCTACCATTGAAATGCAAATCCCTCTGTTATGGTTAAACATGTTAAATATCAGTTTGGACTGTTTATTGAATTTTCCTATAATAGATTTAGTCTAATAAATCGCCAATATCGTCTGACTGAATGTATCGCAATATATCGTGATATATTGTATCGTCTCCCCTGTATCGTAATACGTATTGTATCGCCAGAATTTCACCAGTACGCATCCCTACTGAACATTAGAGGTGGGAAAAATGATCGATTCTAAGATGCATCGCGATTCAGCCGTGCATGATTCTGCATCGATGCGGCAACGTGACATAATGAGATTTTCTCCCTATGTCTATGTCTATGTTTATGTCTATGTCTATGTTCTGGACGTGCGAGGACAATAAAGTTTTGAGGTTTTATAATTACTTCTGGGGGCAGAGTTGCAATGACATGCGCACTGCGTTGCCCTAGCGCCAGTTTAAAACAGAAAAGGCGGACAGGGATACAGGGCCAACATTACCAGTAATCAAAGATGTACCCGTTACATTTAAATCGGATGTCTGGGCTAATTTCGGTTTTGGGATCCTGGATGTGAAAGAATCACTTAACACAGTATTTGTTTACTATTTTTAAGTTCAGTAATATTCTATCTTAAAGCTGCTCTACAGAAAACATTATTTCTTATATTATTTAAGTAATTATAGGCAGCACACTTTAAACATTATTGCTCACTATAGTGAATAGATGAATGTTCTGTTTTTCAGGGATTTCGAAATAAAAAAATTGAAAACTATTCTACTGCTTTTATTAAGTAATGAAAAATTTTGTGTGAAGAATCGTGATGCATTTCAGACTCAAATCGAATCTTTTGGCAGATAATCGGATCGAATCGTGAGGCAGGTGGAGATGCACATCCCTACTGAACATGTTTACGTTTTGTTCCTGATCCACTCAGTTCTGACTTTAGCCTTATGGCTTGGCGCTTGAGAATGCTGGAGAAGACATTGTTCATCACCAAACTGTTGGTGGATGTTTGGAGGGGTTCCAAGGAAGCCTCTTTAACCCTCGGCTAATCTCTCTACGGGTGCGGCTGTTTTCTAAGTCTCGCTGTGTTCGTGTTCTGTTGTCTGAGCCGGAAGCTAATCTCACTGTCCGTCAGACATTACACTTGAAAAAATGGGATTCTGGTCCATTCATTTTCGGCCGCTTATCCAGGGTCGGGTCGCGGGAGCAGGAGCCTAAGCAGGGAGGCCCAGACTTCACTCTCTCCAGCCACTTGGGCCACCTCCTCCGGGGAATCCTAAGGCGTTCCCTGACCAGCCGTGAGACGTAGTCTCTCCAACGTGTCCTGGGTCTTGGTCTTCTCCTAGTTGGACGTGCCCAGAAAACCTCACCAGGGAGGCGTTCGGGAGGCATCCTAACTAAATGTCCATGCCACCTCAGCGGGCTCCTCTCGATGTGGAAGAGCAGCAGGTCTACTCCGAGCCCCTCCCGGATGACCGAGCTTCTCAACCTATCTCCTGTGGAGGAAGCTCATTTCATCCTTGCGTTTCTGCAATCTCGTTCTTTCGGTCGCTACCCAAAGCTCGTGACCACAGGTGAGGGTAGGAACGAAGATCGGCCGGTAAATCGAGAGCTTTGCCTTCTGGCCTCGGATTTAAAGGAGCTGATTCTCATCCCGGCTGCAAACCGCTGCAGGGAGAGGATCATGTTCTGATGAAGCCGACAGGATTCTAGTCTGTGTTCACCACCATTAGGTTGCTTCATTAACCCAGTTACTCTCTTCTGGTTCCAGGTCTTCCAGCTCAGAACGGCCACATTGTGAGACGAGAGGACTCCAGAAGCTCTCTGTTTATGGACTCGGGAGCTCCAGACAGCATGGAGGTGAGAACGTCTGTCCTGCATAGGTGAATGAGTTTAGGATAGAATGAATCCATTATAAACCTTCCAAAGTATTTTTGGAGCCACAAGTTGGATTTAATAAAAAAAATAAAAAAATCAGAAAGTCTTCGCGGGATGTACGTCTAAAGCTGATTAACTTATGGATTCAACCGCATTCAAGAAGGCCGCCACAGCTAAGCACAGCTGGAACTCTCAGTTTTACTTTTCTGGAGCCAAACGTTGGTGTGGAAGTAGCGGAGAGTCATTCACACCACCTGGGATGTTAGTAAAGTTTCACTAAAACATCAACTCCAACATCAGGTGATCCAAGTTTAAAACTCTGGGATGAAAGATGGTCGGCGATGAGCTTCAGGATTAGTATATAGAAGCAAAACATGTAGTTCATGCTGAGGATTCACCAATCAGGTAGCAAAACAAAACAGAAGATTCTGGTTTTTCCAGTTGGGAGAAAACTTGAACCATTCACTTGACTGATCTTTAGTAGATCTTTTGTGTGAGCAGGACTACGTGTTTTGAACTTCATAAGGTCAAAACTAATGAGACAGAATCATCTGCTTGGGGCTCAGTAAGAAGTATATTTACTTTAATATTTTATTAACCTTTCTCAGTGGCCTAGTGGTAGAGAGTCCGCCCTGAGACTGGGAGATCAGGGTTCGATTCCTGGTCGGGTCATACCAAAGACTTAGAAAAAATGGGACCCAATGCCTCCCTGCTTGACACTCAGCATTAAGGGGTTGGATTGGGGGGTTAAACTACCAAATAGTTCCCGAGCGCGGCTGTGTCTGCAGCTCACCGCTCCCCCAGGGGATGGGTCAAATGCGGAGAACAAATTTCGCACACACACCTGTGTGTGTGACAACTAATGGGACTTTAATTCCACCTTCAGTAAAGCATTATGAACCTCGGAGAACCTGAGCGTTCTTTCTGACTCTTTCTGAGACTCCAGTGTGTTTCAGCGACTGATTCATTCCCACCATGGCCGACTCTTTTTCCCGTAAATGATCTGAACTTCCTGCTTATTTGTTTCAATGTTGCGACTTTACATCAGAAGATGCTGGAAAAGCAAATGTTTTAATTGCTTTACATTAGGCATGTCCCGATCCGATCACATGATCGGAAATCGGCCCCGATCACGTGGTTTCAGACTGATCGGGACTCAGGCTTTACTTCCCGATCCAAGCCCTGATCCAGAGTTGGATACTGGGTTCAAATTACAGGAGAGCAACTTGGTTCTCCTTAAAGGTTGTCAGGCTCCCCTGATGCCCTTCACTTACACACCCAGAAGGAGCACAAAAGAGATCCAGTTTCCACCTACCGTACTTTTACGACCATAGGGCGCACCGTGTTATTGGACGCAGCGTCAGTTACGGGTGTCGTTTTGGTATTTAACACATACTAAAGGTGCACCGGGTTATAGGGCGCGGGCGCGGGCATGGTAAAACGTACCGGTAAAACATCTGTGCGGGCTCGGGACTCGGAACGTATCAGTGCAAACCAGTCATTGTGAAAATTATAAACAGCCAAAAGCACTTTGTCCATGTTGGTTATGTGGCTGGACTGGATGTGTTTGTCCGCAATCTTCTTACTGCAGTAGGAGCGGAAGATGGACAGCTTTTCTTTGTAGCCCACTGGAAGTTGCTGCGCCACCGTAGTCCTTGCCCGGATGGAAAGATGGCGGCGTTTCATAAAACGAAAGCACCAAGACGCACCTCCTTGAAAATGTTCAATGTTCATTTCTTGTGCGAGCGTTACTGCTCTCAGACGAACGGTGACGGTAGAGACGCTTCTCCCAGCTGTCCTCTGCTCGTTAACCCATCACTCGAGGCGGTATTCCGGCTCAGGCCACCTGGCTTTGTGCCCGCGGAAACACAGCTGCGTCTTCTTTACTTGTCGAAGTTTGTTTTCCAACTTCCTCCACCTCCGAGCCATGGACTCATTAATGCTGAATTCTCTCGCCGCTGCTCTAGTCCGTGTTTCTCCGCGTAGCTGATCGCTTGCAGTTTAAACTGTGCTTCATAGGCGTGTCTCTTAGCGGGTGCCATTCTCAGGGTTGTCAGAACAATGTTCAGCATACCGCGCGTACCTGCCCTTTTGAACTATTCGGGGTCTGTCTTCGCTCACGTCCGCACGTTCACGCCACGCCCCTTGTCTTCTACTACGTCCGCGTCTCACAACAACACAATAGGTGCACCCTTACCATAGGGCGCGGCGTACATTTTGGAGAAAATTTAAGACTTTTAGGTGCGCCTTATGGTCGTGAAAATACGGTATATTTTATTATTTATATGGACTCAGAGTAGCGGGGATTCTTCTGAGCAGAGATGCAGAGAGCGGCAGGCAGACCGCTGATTATTCATGAACTCCAGCTGAGTTCTGCACACGGCCACAGCAACATTTTCTAAGTTTCTAAGTGACGTCACCAAAAATTAACACACGGTCATTCGTGTCCGTTCCGTTTCTCTCTGGTAGGTTCTGTCTGTATTTGAGCATGACGTGTGGACGCGCTCCCGCTGCAGCGCTCGTCACTGGCGCAGCCGGGCAGCGCCGCGCACACTCCGCTTTTTTAGCGGTCAATAGATCGATTTGATCTGCTGGTGAAAAAGTTACTTGTGAGGTGAAAAAAATGAAGCAGGCAGGAGTTTATCTGGAGGACTGGGAGATGCAGGAAGATCAGAGACAGACAGGACAGGAAGGTCAGAGACAGACAGGACAGGAAGATCAGAGACAGACAGGACAGGAAGGTCAGAGACAGACAGGACAGGAAGATCAGAGACAGACAGGACAGGAAGGTCAGAGACAGACAGGACAGGAAGGTCAGAGACAGACAGGACAGGAAGGTCAGAGACAAGACAGGACAGGAAGGTCAAAGACAGACAGGACAGGAAGGTCAGAGACAGACAGGACAGGAAGATCAGAGACAGACAGGACAGGAAGATCAGAGACAGACAGGACAGGAAGGTCCGAGACAGACAGGACAGGAAGATCAGAGACAGACAGGACAGGAAGGTCCGAGACAGACAGGACAGGAAGGTCAGAGACAGACAGGACAGGAAGGTCAGAGACAGACAGGACAGGAAGGTCAGAGACAAGACAGGACAGGAAGGTCAAAGACAGACAGGACAGGAAGGTCAGAGACAGACAGGACAGGAAGATCAGAGACAGACAGGACAGGAAGATCAGAGACAGACAGGACAGGAAGATCAGAGACAGACAGGACAGGAAGGTCCGAGACAGACAGGACAGGAAGATCAGAGACAGACAGGACAGGAAGGTCCGAGACAGACAGGACAGGAAGGTCAGAGACAGACAGGACAGGAAGGTCAGAGACAAGACAGGACAGGAAGGTCAAAGACAGACAGGACAGGAAGGTCAGAGACAGACAGGACAGGAAGATCAGAGACAGACAGGACAGGAAGATCAGAGACAGACAGGACAGGAAGATCAGAGACAGACAGGACAGGAAGGTCCGAGACAGACAGGACAGGAAGATCAGAGACAGACAGGACAGGAAGGTCAGAGACAGACAGGACAGGAAGGTCAGAGACAGACAGGACAGGAAGATCAGAGACAGACAGGACAGGAAGGTCAGAGACAGACAGGACAGGAAGGTCAGAGACAGACAGGACAGGAAGGTCAGAGACAGACAGGACAGGAAGGTCAGAGACAGACAGGACAGGAAGGTCAGAGACAGACAGGACAGGAAGGTCAGAGACAGACAGGACAGGAAGGTCAGAGACAGACAGGACAGGAAGGTCAGAGACAGACAGGACAGGAAGGTCAGAGACAGACAGGACAGGAAGATCAGAGACAGACAGGACAGGAAGATCAGAGACAGACAGGACAGGAAGATCAGAGACAGACAGGACAGGAAGGTCAGAGACAGACAGGACAGGAAGGTCAGAGACAGACAGGACAGGAAGGTCAGAGACAGACAGGACAGGAAGGTCAGAGACAGACAGGACAGGAAGGTCAGAGACAGACAGGACAGGAAGGTCAGAGACAGACAGGACAGGAAGGTCAGAGACAGACAGGACAGGAAGATCAGAGACAGACAGGACAGGAAGATCAGAGACAGACAGGACAGGAAGATCAGAGACAGACAGGACAGGAAGGTCAGAGACAGACAGGACAGGAAGGTCAGAGACAGACAGGACAGGAAGGTCAGAGACAGACAGGACAGGAAGGTCAGAGACAGACAGGACAGGAAGATCAGAGACAGACAGGACAGGAAGGTCAGAGACAAGACAGGACAGGAAGGTCAGAGACAGACAGGACAGGAAGGTCCGAGACAGACAGGACAGGAAGGTCAGAGACAGACAGGACAGGAAGGTCAGAGACAGACAGGACAGGAAGGTCCGAGACAGACAGGACAGGAAGGTCCGAGACAGACGGGACAGGAAGATCAGAGACAGACGGGACAGGAAGGTCCGAGACAGACGGGACAGGAAGGTCAGAGACAGACGGGACAGGAAGGTCCGAGACAGACAGGACAGGAAGGTCCGAGACAGACAGGACAGGAAGGTCAGAGACAGACAGGACAGGAAGAGACAGGACAGGAAGAGACAGGACAGGAAGGTCAGAGACAGACAGGACAGGAAGGTCAGAGACAGACAGGACAGGAAGATCAGAGACAGACAGGACAGGAAGGTCAGAGACAGACAGGACAGGAAGATCAGAGACAGACAGGACAGGAAGGTCAGAGACAGACAGGACAGGAAGAGACAGGACAGGAAGGTCAGAGACAGCCTGGACAGGAAGATCAGAGACAGACAGGACAGGAAGATCAGAGACAGACAGGACAGGAAGGTCAGAGACAGACAGGACAGGAAGGTCAGAGACAGACAGGACAGGAAGATCAGAGACAGACAGGACAGGAAGATCAGAGACAAGACAGGACAGGAAGGTCAGAGACAGACAGGACAGGAAGGTCAGAGACAGACAGGACAGGAAGATCAGAGACAAACAGGACAGGAAGATCAGAG